TGTTCTGTTCTGTTCTGTTCTGTCATTCATCTGGAATCCAACGTCAACCGCGACGTTGTTTGCTTGTTGCGGATTGCTGCACGCCTCACTGCGTGTAATCCCTTGAATGAGCAAGAAATGTTGTGATCATCAGATATGTTTTATTGTAATAAAACGGTTGTATCCCATAACCCCTACATGCCACTACACCCTACAGCCCAGTACCCCTGGCTACAATTAGTTAAACAAACACACGGCATTTTACCTTTGTCTGGTATAATGAACCTGGCCCAAAGCAGAGAGAGATTAGTGCATAGAGCATGTACAGCGATGAGATCAAGGGAGGGATTAAACTGTTCTTAGTGTTTTGTGTCAAGGAAATTTGGATTAGCTAAAAGTTGTTTTAGTTTGCTGATGAAAGATAAACCTCTAGTGAGTAGAACAATTTTACAAATTGGATAATGTGTAGGTTGTTAAATGTTGAAATTAAGTTGTTTTAGTGCCGTGAAAAAAGATACAGCCAGTATTATTGAGAAGTGGAGAGAAATCGAGAAGGTGAGACGAGAAAGTAAATTGAGATAGTTCGGTCCATAGTATATAGCCTGTTGACAACAAACTAACATGGCATCAACATGGCTGGTCTGCGTAATGTTGAGTGTGTTATGTCACGGAGAGGTAGCCCCAAGTCCTATTTGATTTGTTATCTTCACACTAAGAAATGTCGAGAGACAGTCTTGTGTACACTGGAAGTGTGTTCAGTCAACATGCAGAGTGGGAAGAGTCACAACTGTTGGCAATGTTGTAAGGAATAACGACAGAACATAATCACCCAACCAGTATAAAATGCATTGTTGGTCAGTAGACTTATACTGAAATACAATCTGTCTGTCTGTCTGTCTGTGTCATGAGCGACGATTTACGAATCACTCTCAAAGAGTAACCTCTCCCTACGTTGCCATAATGCACCATTCCTGTACTTTGGACATGTACAAAATGTCGGTACGTCAACGGTTTTAGGCATTAAGGAAAAAACCCGTAACAGTAGTTCAAGCAATGCCATAAGTATGAAATGTGTATTCATAGACTTTCAGAAAATAGATCTGTTATAAAATTGAATCGAATGGCCAGGCTGGTGACATGTTGCAGGCAGTCACATCTATTGGCAGCCACCGCCTCCTTCATCCATTTAACATAATGCGAATGTACGCTAGTCTCAATACTTACATGGTATCTAATCCAGACATGGGGCAAGTTCACTAGATCACATCCCTCTTTGGTAGGTTTACTAAGCGAATTCGAGGCAACAGCCTTGTGTAGGCTGGCCTGGCACAGAAATCCGACGCTCACGTTACATCCAAATTTAACTCCTGTTATCCCATCCATGTTCAAGCCGACATGCATGCACATCTGAGATGTGTGTGTATGCAGAAAGCAGCCGAAACTATTTCTTTGCGCTCTGTGCTAGTCTACAAAAGCTAAAGAAGACATTTTTGCATGGAAACTCGGTCAGTACGATCGTTGCCACGGTAACCACCAAAATGAGAGAACTGTTGGAGAAAAAGGAAGAGGCGGCGTGTAGGTGACCGACTCTATGTGTGGGGGTCGAATCCCGGTCGGATTTCAACCAAACAAAAGTATTTGATTCTCTTCTTAAAGGCCCTGTCTCATCTTCATTTGATTTAGGCTTAGCGTATGCCGACGTATAAAAAATGGCGAATACGCTGACGTACGTCGAATACGTTATGGGTAAATTTTTGTATAAGCTAAACGCATGGTGAGGCACGCTGGTATACTTTCGTAGTACGGGAGGTCGTCGAAAAAATCTGTGGATGCATGGATTTTTCTTTCATATCAACCATCTGAAGACCAAAATTATTTCACTTGCAGACAAACTGTTACGAAACCAGGGTTGCGCAACAGAGACAATAAAATTACCAGTCTTCCTATATGCGAGCCGAAGCGAGCAAAGGTTAACAAAGTACTTCCTCGCTTCGATTCGAAAACACGCCAAAGACCCGGGTTCGAATCTCACATGGCATTACAATGAGTTAAGCCGATTTCTGGTGTCTCTCCGCCGTGATATTGCTGGAATATTGCTAAAAGCGCCGTCAAAACCAAACTCAGTCAGTCAGTCGATTCGAAAAATATATGTAAAATATCGCCAACATCAAAGGTTGTGCTCTTGGATGTCCAACCTCATATTTACTAATTATTCTATGTAAAATATATCATTTATTCAACATTTTAAGAGCCATACCTGGCATATCAACTAGTTTCGCGCGTCATACGTGGCATACCAACTAGTTTCCGCCTGTCAGCTTCCGGTTCAACACGAATGTTCCGTTCGAGGGTCGCGTCATACCAAGAACCGTTAGGAAAATGGGAATTTTTATCGTGTCTGTTCAAACAGGAGGACTTGTGAAAATATATTGGTTCTGAGAAGTAGCCAGCGACAAAATGTGGCGGTGTATTGCATGGACTGGCATTGTAAGATAAGACCTAGTCTGTAGTGTACGCACACGCACGAACGAACGCACTCTCATCCCTACGTAAGTGGAATTATCTTGAACGTGACAATAAACCCACATTTCGCCTCAGCTCAACTTTGTACAATATACCTTTTGATACTCTCCGGGACGGTGGGGTAGCCTAATGGTTAAAGCGTTGGCCTGTCACGCCGAAGACCCGGGTTCTGAATCCTCACATATGGGTACAATGAGTTAAGCTTCCATTTCTGGTGTCCCCGCCGTGATGTTTCTGGAATATTGCTAAAAGCGGCGTAAAACCAAACTCAGTCAGTCGGCCGTGATACACCCCACCCTTTGTCCTGACAATGACCATTGAAACTCGTGAAAATGATGTGTAAACACCCACCCACCCCTTACACACACACACACACACATAATTCTCAATAGTAAGGCACCACCACCACCACCACTACCACCGACCACCACCCCTTGCTCAAAAAGCTGTATCCTCCGCTGCGACAAAGAAAGAGTATACTACAGTGTATTATGTTCCAGGTTAAATTGAAGGGGAACCCACCATCTCAACACCGACAGCAAGAGAGACTAGTTTTCGGGAATTAAATATGTATATTAGTGCTAAACGTTATTTGTTATTCACACGAGATAATTTACTTACATATTTAAAAGACCGATGTTCCAAAGGCAACGCCCAAAATTGTCTCCAACTGTTTTCTCTTGAAAACACTTTTAAATGAACAAACACGTGGTTCCGAGGCCCTTTGAAGCGTAATATAATGCCCTCTCTTCCTTCCAGAGTGAGTGAGTGAGTGAGTTTTACGCCACTGTTAGCAATATTCGAGTTAATATCACGGCGGTAGATTATCAGAAATGGCTTCACATTATTCTGCTGATGAAATCGAACCCGTATCTTCGGCGTGATGGGCGAACGCCTTAACCACTGGGCTACCCGGGACCGCCCCTCCAATGGGTAGAGCCGGTGGGTAGCCTACTGGTTAAAGCGTTCATTCGTCAGCAACAAAGACCCGGGTTCGATTTCACATGGAGTCAATGTGTCAAGCCCATTTCTGGTGTACCCCATCTTGATATTCCTGGAATATTCCCCAAAGCGGGCGAAAAACTAAACTCACTCACTCACTCTAATTGTGATTTGGCCAATTAATTGCCATGCAGCAGTGAAGCCTGAATATCCCACTCAGACACATTATACCGACTCCGAGCTGACCAGTCCTCGTTGTACCCATTAATGCCGAGCGCCAGGCAGGGACAAAACAAGTCCCATATTTTATTGTCCTTGGTATGAAGCGGCCGGGGATCGAACCCGCGGACCTTTCGCCTCTGGGCGGACCATTTTAGCAGAGAACAAATATTTTGCATATTTTATAAAATGGAATATTGCAAATATAATTCTAAGATGCCTAGCGGTTAGAACAATCGGAAAAAAATACATTATCAGACAATAAAGGTATAGTTTTTTTGATGACCTAACAATTGAATGACGTTTACCCGTCACTGCGCCATTCTAGTGTGCCCCTCGTAATCGAACCATTTTACATTACGTCACAATGTAAAGCGACGTCACGATGCATGTCAGTTGTCATCGCCTCGTACGGCCTCTCCTACAGTAAACTACCCGTCCGTTGCATCCCGTTTCTTTGGTTTGCTGCTGCTTCACGCAGCTAACATCACTGGTGGAAACATTACGTTTATGTTTTACGACGGTAAAAATGTGTCAATCTGACTCACAGTTTTCAGCGACACGGTAACGTTCGCAATGTTTACATTCCCACAATGCAATCGTGGAATGTCGCTTGACTACTCAGCTTCATCTGGATGTACCTGATCTAAACTTACGTTGGTAGTAGAAATGCGACGTCTATATTGCCCCGTATGGTTTACGTTAATGACAGATGTAATTAAAATAATTCAGAGAAGATATTTAATCCGAACGTAAACCGTCATCAAACTGTTATCATTTTGTTTTTTCTGGTAACGTTCGTCTTAACGTAGGGGAAGACACATCAATAGAACAGCGCACCAGTTAGCCCTAAAAGCGAGGATTCTTAATTGAGGTCACCGACACCGTCATTTGTTTTCTGCCTTAAATTAATCGTAATTATCCTTAGAAAGTATTAAATTTAGCATCTTAGAAAGATAAAAGTTCGTTTACTTCAATGTAGTTTGTAATAGTATAGTTTTGCCCCTGAACTATTATATCATCAAAAGCACTCGGACTACCGTCCTCGTGCTTTAATTATAATAGTTCAGGGCAAAACTTTACTTTATTACAAAACACATTGGGGTAGAGCGAACTTTATTTCCTAAATAAAATGTTAACTGTGAATATGCCATATGTATTCTATAATCAGTATACTATCACACATAGTGAACATCACATATGAGGTACAGGGAAAGGCTCAATTTGTTTCTTCAAACTATACTCGCAAAAATATGTTCACGATATCTGCGGAGTGCTCATGGTTAATCTGAACATTGCGTGTCACAAGATTGCATTCTTTTTCGTTTCGTGTGGAGCTTCGTGTCACTTGGTAACGTGTGGCGACGTCAACCAGGGAAGTGTTTATTACACCCGGTGATCGTCCATGCTTCGGCATCCCTAAAGGTAAACCACTAGAACACTTTGAAATGAAACTTTAATATTTTGTTTTCCGTCTGCCAAACATCGAATCGTCTTTAATACATACATTTTAGTTACAGTCGCCATAGATAATTATTATGATCGATGCATGGGATACGCACTATAGTAGCATAAGGGTCGTATCCCATGCATCGATCGCCTGTGCACATAACCTGCACCTCGAACACGAGAGTAGCTTGAAAGCGAAAGTGGCTTGAAAATTCATTTTAATGAGTCCTGACTTGAAAGCTGAAAGACTAGTCTGCCCTACAGACCACGACTGACTGACTGACTGAGTTTAGTTTTACGCCGCTTTTAGCAATATTCCAGCAATATCACGGCGGGGGACACCAGAAATGGGCTTAACACATTGTGCCCATGTGGGGAATTGAACCCGGGTCTTCGGCGTGACGAGCCAACGCTTTAACCACTAGGCTACCCCACCGCCCCCTACAGACCACGAAACAAATGTACTCAATGCAGCCCATGCAAGTCAAGAATGTGTGGCAAGATTGAAAAAAAAATATAAGTTTAATTTAAAAACTTTTATTTTCTGTAAAAAAAGTTCATTTCAGAGACGAGCTGTTAGTCTAGCTGAAAGAAGTGTACCAAGACAAGACAACAAAACCATAGTCTTGAGGTATAATCACGTTTTTGCAACATCTGAAAACTTGCACGTAGTATATGCAACCAGATGCGGTCGTGTTTTAGTTATGATTGCTGGGTTATGCCCCTTGATCCGTAGTTCACAATATATCCTTATAGGAGAGATAAGCCTGCTCTGATATATTTATAAGTATGACCTATATATATATATAAGATATCTTATATGTACAGTTCATACTTATAAATATATCAGAGCCGTGCGCCTATGCCCATAGGTCAGAATGTTTATTTTTTGTGTTTCTCATCGCGCGACCGACCCTAATTTTATTGCCGACCAAAACAATTATAAAAAATTTATTCCAACACCGCCGACTCGAACCCAAAACGTACCGACTCGTCAAGTAAAACGTTACCACACCCAAAAAAATCAGAATTATGACACTTGACAACAGACCGTCCATGATGTCTGCTACTCCCATAGCAGACGAAAACGAAAAATAAACATCTGGTCTATTTTGAAGTATCACCTTCATATCCCTTTTAAAGTAGCAGAAGTGACATCTTAATTTGATAATCTTTTAAAATTTATGAACTCATTCAAGCACAATATATAACGGTGTTTGATACACTGGTCTCTAATATTTGTCTTTATATACTCATGCCAATAATGGTTGTCACCCCTCCCGACCCCAACACCACACACACACCTCACACTCCTCACCTTCCCTACACCCCTCCAATTAAAAAATATTGAAGGGGTGACAACCATTACTGGCATGAGTATAAAAGGGCAGACTATACTTTTGTTTCGTTGATCTCAAAGCTGCATTGATTCCATCAATAGAACAAGTTTGATGTATAAACTTTAGACTGGCAATGTCAAAAGTATTCATTAAGATTCATTAGAAATATGTACACAAATGTTGAATCATGTATATCATTGTAAGGTGGCTACACAACAACTGTTTGACTGTGTGAGCGGAATAAAACAGGGTTGCCAACTATCACCACTACTATTTTCATTTCATGTTAATTACTGAATTTCGTGGTGTTAATGAAGATAGTTGCATTGATCTTGGTGTCTGTCGATTTTTCATGTTACTCTTCACCGATGATATGTATCTGTTTGATAGCACTGTCCGAGGTTTACCAAAACATTGAATAATCTTAAAATATATTGTAAAATAGGATGCCACGATACATCGATACATCGATGCATCGATACTTTTCGAAGACGATATTAATAATCGGTACATTCAAAACTGTATCGATATTTTGTTTTGAAAGTATCGGTTTAAATATGTTTATGTATCGTTAATATTTTGCAACTGTATCATGTTTTTGATGCTATGAGCGCTTTAAATGATTATTTGTCATGCACAAAGATGGGAAATTAGAACTTTTTAATCTCTGAGAATAAAAAATGCTGATCTTTCATGGACAATAATAAATGAAATATTAATGTTCAAATGTAACTAAATTCACGCAATAATGCCGCGAAAATAGATATCGTGACACCTATCGATTCATGAAACTTATGTAACATGACATCCCTATTGGAAAAAAGTGGTCTTTAACCGTCAAACTAAAATGTATGGTTTTCAGGAGAGATGGTAGATTAAAGAAATAATGAAAACATTGTCTTAATGATACCCAACTAGAAATTGTGACTCTTACACATATCTGAGTGTTGTTCATTCTCATGCAGTGGGTCATGGCATGTAACACAAAACACTTTGTCATATCCAGAATGTGTTAAATATTTTATGTTCCCAGCTATCAAATTTCAGAAAATTAACAATATCTATTCTTCTCTCGTCAGGTCTTTTAACCACAAACTCTAGTTTGCGGCTCAGAAATATGGGGATTTCATCCCTCACTGGATGCAGACAGAGCATACAATAATTTCCTAAAGCAAAATCTTTTTCTTGGTAGAAATGCACCGAAATTTATGGATGTTTATGTTTCAAAACTAGACAATATATTACAATTGTAAAATATTGGACATACAGTTATTATACCAAAAGGATAATGGAATATTATACCACAAATATAAATTAGCAGAAGCTGGTAGACAATGTTGAGCCCATAATGTAAAACAATTGATAAATAAATATGGTCTTAGGTATGTCTGAATACAGTCAGGATGGTAGGTTGTATAAATAAGTTCTTATATGGTTTTAAACAAAGGTATATATCAATAGACCAACAGACATCGTTTGAATTAATATGTTCGTTTCCCAAACGTATTGCATATCAATCTCTAAAGAAGGAATAATGTTGGGAAGAATATTTGTCAGTTGTGAATGTTACTTCACATAGAATAGCCTTTTACTAAATTTATGTGTTCAAATCAAAGATTAATGATAGAGGAAGATAGAAAACTCTCATATTGCTAAAGATCGATAATTTTGTCATCTAAGCATTGTTCCCTGTAGTCAAAGTCAAAAATATTAAATTTTATTGTGCAAAAGGCCTCTGGCCCATATACAAGAGAGTATGTACATATCATCATACTGTTACACTCAGGAAGTAACACGCTCCTTTAAACAGGTCATTTCTTTTAACTAGTGCATGTTTAATATATAGTGAAAGGTTTAAGATATGAGATTCATTCTTAGTCGTTAAAATATATACAAAATAATATATTTAATATATTTCTTTTGAAGGTCACTATAAAATGGACAGACGAAACACAAAGTGAATTTCATTTTCTATATCAGTATCGCATAATTGACAGATTCGTTTCGATTTTGCAATGGAAAGTTTTCTTCCTTCATTTACAAAAAGGTCTAACAAACCTAGCCGATATTTAATAAAATGTTTCCTTAAATTTTCCGTCGTGACTCATTGATAAATAAATTCTGGTTGAAGTAAGGTCTTGAAATAAGCATATCGTGAACTATCTTCTAAAGTGGAATGCCATTCCTGGTAAAACAACGTATGGTATCTCAGTGAGCTAGCACTATGAAACCAGCTTAAGTCTGGGCTAGTACAATCAGCCACACATCCACACGCATGCACGTCGTCATATGAGCGAAATATTCTCATAATTACGATGTTAAACCCAATTTCACCTCACCTCATCTCATATCTCCACATACCACACTTATAGAATCCCTAAACTTCGACTGATTATCTAACAAAAACTCAAAGCTGCTCAATACTACAGCACACGTGGTTATAATACGACGAGCGAGCTGGTGGTATATATGTACATAGCAAGTTTGCACTTTTATCAGTTTTAAGTAGCACTTTCGATATGGGGCGCGGGCGAGCTGGGCGAGCTGCACATGCCTAAGGCGTCAGGCTAGTAATCCAGCGCGCTTGAAGGTGCCGGGATCGAGCCCACCTGTGACCGGGTGTATAAAACCTTGGAGTCAACTTTGTGTGCAGACTCTTTCAGTGTTGTCACAACCCCTAGTGTACAGTACACAACCCTGTGCACTTAAAAGAACCCACGAATCCGTTGGTAGATGACCAGACGGTGGCCACATGAATACGTGCAAACACCTAGTTGCGGGTACAGCAACGTGCAGTGAACTATATGTCCCAGTCCACCCAGCTGTGAATGGGTACCTCGTAAGGATGGGGAAGCCACATTAACTCGGTGACCGAGTGGCTGCAAGAGTTGTATGATTCCCCAGGGAGTTGAGGATTGAAAATACGATATGCCGTTGTGATGGATATCCAATGATCGAGGGGAAACAAAGCGCCTTTGGAGCAGTTGTACTGATATCGGCGCTATACAAATGTTTGTATGTATGTTCAAGCACAGGAGGTTATGAACGCTTGATTTAATCATCTTATTACAAAATTTACTTACTGACACACTCACCACCCGAAAGGCTGCCGTAGTCAGATAACTTTATTGCTGGGCTGTTATAGGTGTCATATATATAGTCGACAAAAGTTTCCACAAGACATGTTACTTGAAATTGTTTTAAGTACGATATAAAATCATCGTCAACAATTTTGTTTCGTGGTCCGTTAATGTTCCAACAGAGGAAATCAAATGTTTCGCCGGGACAGTCAGCGTTTAAAGTAGCACCGGTGTTAACCTTGTTATGTCCTTTTGGGGTAATATCCGAGCCTCAGCCAATTCCCTAGCTTGCAAACTCATTTGCGGATGATTTCCGAGCGATCTGCATGGTAATGATCGTCTGTCTCCTGACGTTTCTGTAGTACCAGACATCGCCGAAGTTGGTGTTGTTTCTAGTGTGCGAGGCTTTGTTATCAACCGTTCATCCTTGAAATACCCAAACTTGTTGGTCCCTAGCCAATGCTTAGTCTCTGAATATATATAATTTTGAAAGTAACAAACAAGCCCATTTAAATTGAAAAGGAGCCCCAGGGAGACCAGAGATTCAGAACCTGAGGAAATCTAGACTTGCTTTATTGAGAGCTTTGGCACTGCAGAAAGGCTTGGCAGTAGGGAAAACATTGTGGTTCAGTGACTGTGAGAGACAGACTAGTTTGTCCCCTTAGCGCTCGCAACTGCTGACACTGACGTGACGTAAGATCAATTGAAATTCCAAGTCCCCTCCTTCCTTGAATGTGGGTCTCGCTTTCCAAGGCACAAACTTTGCCGTGAGACAAAGGGAACCTACATTATGACCTTCTCCTGACTACCCTCCAGAGCATGGTTGATTAATAGAGTAAAATAATTGTTGACAACATGGTGTGTATCCCAAAATCGATTCAAGCGTGAGCGTAATGAGATGATATAATTCCAACAGATATGGCCACCGCTAAGAAGCTGACAGACAACTATCTGACCTGTGTCATCTGTACGGAGGTGTTCACAGACCCTGCCACACTTCAGTGTAATCACACATTCTGTAAGTCCTGTCTGCTGAAATACACCAAAACACAGTCTGAAGCAATACAAGCCAAGTCCATTCCCATGTCCCTCCTGTAGACAACAGACAAAGGTGACCAACCCTGACAGTCCAGTGAAGGATTGGGTCAGTCAGCTGAAACCAAGCCACGTCATACAGAGTCTGATGGACGATTTGGGGGGATCGCCAGGTGGGAAATTTTGAAACTATTTCATGTCATGCTTCCAATGTATACGAAATGCTGTTTTATATAAATTAAAAAGTGAGAAGTAGCTGGTTGAAGCTAATATTACGTACTAAATAATTATATTTTAGTAGTCGTACATACCAATAATAATTGAACAGTGGTACGTGCATGCAAGTTCCAGCGATATATCTTTGAACGATTTGTTTTAGATGTTGATGTCTGTTGTGTGTGCAAAGAAGATGGCCAAACAACTCCAGGTACAATGTGGTGCACCATTTGTGAAGATGTCTTCTGTGATGCGTATCAAGTTGCACAAGAAGATGCCACTATCACGTGACCATGAACTGTTTGATGTACGTATCCATGGAAACAGGAAACCCAAAGTACGTAGCTTTATGTGCAGAATTCACAAGGACGAGAATATGAAACTGTTCTGTAAAGACTGCAGGATGGCAATGTGTACTGTATGCTGCAGCATCAAACACCGGAAGTGTGATGATGTTGAAACCATAGATGTCATGATGCCCTTTGTCAAAGAAACTCTGGTGAATGAAACAAGGAACCAAGAGAAGAAGATACAAACTTATATCGACAATATTTCATCAACAAACTCGAAAATTGCAAAGCTAACGACTAGTGCACGAGAAATGAAAAGATGAAGTTAGGAAAGTTTGCATGGCAGCTACCGACGTTCTTGTGAGAAAGAAAGGGAACTGCTGGATCGCATCGACAAACTCACTGAGTCCAATGCACAAGAACTGAAAAGCCCACAGAAAGAGCCAGGAGATTGATCTCCAGGTGGAACAGCAGCGGTATGGGTTCACAAACAATGTTTTGACTTCAGACTGTGTAGCTGACATGTTTGATATGTATGAGACTGTGGATGGAACATCTAGAGATGAAGATGCAAGTGAGAACAAGAGGCCACGGACATCCAGCATCATCTTCACACACGACACAGATACGCTGATGAGATCTGTGGATAGGGTGAAACTTGGGGAGGTCAAGGTTGTTCCCACATTATCGCCTGTTCTTGTGCAAGAAATTTACTGTAATAATGATCAGTTCGGATTACACATGTATGACGTTGCTGTGTTGACTGTTCATAATGCCAAGGTAACTCTTGTGTCAGATGACTATAACCATTGTCTCAGAGTATTTAATACTTCAATCAAAACATCCTCCCAATCACTTGTACAGCTTCCTTCTGTCCCAAGACAAATAGCCAAGGTGGGTGAAGCTAAGGCAGCTGTTGCTCTGCCACACACAGGACAAATAGTGTTCATCAAGTTTGATCCTGGACCTACAATAGAGTCAACAGTCAATACACGGAGGAAGTAATCGGGTTGGCCTGTCTGAACGCTTCACAACTTATAGCAGGTGGTAACGATGGTCGTTCCTCAGTTGACATTCTGGATATGAGAGGAAATGTACTGAAATCTATCAACACAGGTGTGGTAAGTAATCCACAATTCATTCATGTTACAAGGAATAACAACGTGGTAGTCAGTGAAGCAGAAGTAAACTCCCTGGTATCTGTGACGCTCGACGGACAAGCTGTTTTCACCTTCACACCCAGAGGAGACAGGGCTCTGGGATATCCTCGAGGTATAACAACAACCAGCACAGGAGACATACTGTTTGTATACTCAGGCTCCCGCAAGGTGATTCAGCTCACACAGTCAGGGCAGTTTGTCAGAGATGTTCTCACAGAACGGGATTGCCTATGGACTCCCAGTGGTATCTGTCTGGATGATGACGGTCTGTTGTATGTCACGTCAGGCGTGTATGTGAAAGTATTCAGCCTTGAATAGTATGTACAGTGCACCCTGGTTATACTGGCCCTGGTTGTATCGCCATAGGTTTCCACAACGGATTTCAACCTATTGACATAACCTGGAAATAAACTTTGACTTTTTCGACATCAACTGTTTTGATCAGCTGAGCAGTGTGTGTCCATAGTTAAGGAGGCATTTTATCATTGGTTAAACGTTAATCTACTCCTAAGAATGATTGGCGTAACTCATGAAACTAACCGCTTACTAAATGAGTTACTAGTATCTGATTAAAAGTCAGCCATGGTTACTAACCGTGCGTGCGTGCGTGCGTGCGTGCGTGCGTGCGTGCGTGCGTGCGTGCGTGCGTGTGTTTATGACATGGTATTTGTTTAGCATATTCAGTAGTTATAGGTATAGAGATGTATAGATATATATATGGGTCATTTTCAAAATTGGTAGGATTTTCAATTCTTTATTACAGTAAAATCAAACTCATGAAAATTGATTTGGTTTTATTCAAATGAAATCTCAAACACTTAATTATTCAATAATACAAACATGCAGGCTCAAATTTACTAATTGGCCTTTTAATTGATACATAAGTAATTAATAGGGCGAGGGAAAGTCCTGACCGTTACCACTTCTTAATCAGAATAGGGATTTTGAAATATAATTCATAAAAATCTTTTAAAGATGGCATAAACAGCTTTTACACCGACTTAATCAAACTTGAAGGTAAAAACTATTTGTTATTTTGTATCTTTCATTTATTTACCACAAAATAATTGCATTTTTCTAAAACATTATTATGCATATAGCTTTCAACAGGTAAAATTGTCTAAAATAAACATCAGCTACTAAGCCCAGGACATCTTTTGATGACACCGGCATAAGGAGGAGTGTTTCATGTATTATCATGAATTAATTAGAGCAGTCAATTAACACCAGTAACGGTTAGGACAATAGTGGTAACGGTTTGGACAGGAATGGTAATGGGCTGGACATAAACCTTAAACAATTTAATTCAAAATAGAAACAGGTAACATGAAAGGAAAAAATGATATCATTTACTTCAATTGCTAACCCTATTTTGGACAGACAGTGAAATGTGTATTAGAAATTGTAACTTGTAACAAATGTGACATGTTTTCTTCCATGCTGTGGTAACGGTTTGGACATTTGTTATATCAATATGAAACTTGTGAATGTATTTAGGCTTTTGAATAAAAACAAACTGTAGCTTCTAAAGAATAGAAAAACACACCTGTCTAGATTGAAAATCACTTATAATCTAAAGAAGAGTGCAATTGGGGAACGAAAATTGAATGAATAGTAACGGTTGTGATATTTTTGGTAACGGTCAGGACATCAGTGTAACAAACAAATGTTATCCATCTAAAAAGTTGCAAAAGATTAAATTCTGAAAGGTACTGCAACAACTATGATACTGTACACATGGTCATGCTACACAGGTCACTGCATAGATATCATTTTGCTGTTGATATTATGGTGCAATATTAGTCTCCACGAAATATACTTCTTTCATTCACTCAGATACCTTAAGTTTTTGTTAATCGTGAGATGGTAACACATATTTATCAAATACAAAGGTTTGGCCAACATATTAGCACCTAGCAAATATTCAAAGTAAATGGTAGCCTTACATATCTCACAGTTAAAGTTAAAACAGTTTACACCCAAAAAATCTTTGAAGGTTGGAATACTGAAAGTTGTTTACCGTTACTACATTTTGTCCTAGCCGTTACCTTTAGTATATAAAGACTATAGATCTTATAGAAAATAGAAACTTAACGTGATAAATTCGTTTTGGTTTTTATTATTTAAAGCAGATAGATAAGTAAATAGAAAATTATTATCACACCATGGAACATATTCTTGAAAGTTGAAATTTATTAAAGATATGTCCAGACCGTTACTATTATTTGTCCAAACCGTTACTAGAGAGTGTTTTTTATGCTTCTACATCAAAACTCCTTTGAAATGTAAAATTTCATGCTTAAACTGATCTTAACCCTTGAAGTAATTATAAATTTGTTATATTTCAAATATTAATGAACAACTTTTTGAAATACAAATCATTTTGTCCAGACCGTTACAAGGACTGTCCAAACCGTTACTTTGCAGAATGGTAACGGTTTGGACAGTAACGGTCAAGGCAATTTGTAAGTAAATCTAAAATATAAAAATGAATGATCCCTAAACGATTTCAAAGGACTTGCCTTCCACCTCTTCTATTTCTGGGCAACATATCCATTGAAATTTAAAAAAACAAATTGATATATTTGACACAAAGTACATTGGTAACGGTCTGGACAATTAAGGCTGACACATAATATTTATACGTATTTGATGGTGTCAATGTTCTGCAAAATGTGTTGAATTTCATCTGCTGTCACATGCACAGGGGCTAGCTCAAGCATACACAGGAAGTAGAATTACAATCCAGCTCCAGGGGGAAATTATTGCAGGAATTTCATACACTGGTAACGGTCAGGACACAAAATCACAGGACAAGCATGTTACAATTTGTTGAAACAAACTTTTTTAAGTTAAAACAAAATTAAATGCAGTTTGAGTATGCCTGTTCAATCCTAATTGGCATAATATGAATTAGTTTGTTTATTTGCATATATATTTACATTATTTGTGAACATTGATATTAGGACCGTCACCTCCGGACAGAGCAAATCTGCCAATTTTGACCCTAAAATGTGGCTAAATATATATTTCAAAATGACAAGACTAATGATATACCACATTTACTGACTAGTAAACATCTAAATATGTTTTCTAGCACAAAAAAAATCCTTTTACGTTAACAGAGTTTTTTTATATTTGGAACGGACAGAAAATCCTACCAATTTTGAAAATGACCCATATATATCCATGGTGTTTAAGGTTTCGGCTTATTGCATATGTGCGTCACAGCTTTCAGAAAATCAGCGTCTCCGCGCTGTGGGGATGCTGGAGACTGGAATGGCCCAAAATGAAGTGGCAAGACACTTTGGTGTCCATCGAAACACGATCTCATCTCTACGGAGACGTTTTCAACATAATGAGATTTGCCTCTGACCGCCTGCCCACTCATGACGTCACGACAGCATGACAACCATATTGGGCTGACCCATCTAAAGAATGGATTCCAGACTGCCAGTTTGACTGCTCGGACCATCTGGCTTTCGTACAATTAGTTCCAGGTGTGTACGGAATCGACTGAGGGAGCACAACATCCGGCCCCGACGGCCTGCAATGCGTCCAATTGTGCTCCAACGTCACCGACAGCCACGCTCTTCTAAAAGACGCGGCGCATTTCAAAGAAAGGTCTGACTTGAAGTGACTTTATCACACACTAACGCAGTCGGATTTCAAGTGTTTGCCATTTGTCTCTGATAGTGTTTCCATAGTTTACCTGGGATTGAAAATGCTATGAAAATGTGTATTTATACTCTGATTATCAAAATCAATTTTAAGTGGCTATTCTACACCGCTGATGTATCCAGCAAGAAAGATGAAATCATTCGATTGCATTATGTTGTTTGCCATTAAGAAATAGACATACGTAAGATATATAAATGATATTCACATTTATAATAAGACAGTCGATTACACGAATTTTATCAAATTAGAAATACATCACCGTTGATTAACACAAGTACTAAAACACAACCATGATACTGATATGTATACATCATAGACACCACTAGAAATACATCACCGTCGAATAACACAAGTACTAAAACACAACCACGATACTGATATGAGTACATCATAGTTACGAATAGAAATACATCACCGTCGAATAACACAAGTACTAAAACACAACCACGATACTGATATGAGTACATCATAGACACCAATAGAAATACATCACCGTCGAATAACACAAACACAAGTACTACACACCACTAGAAAAAACACAACCATGATACTGATATGAGTACATCATAGTTACCACTAGAAATACATCACCGTCGAATAACACAAGTACTAAAACACAACCACGATACTGATATGAGTACATCATACACACCAATAGAAATACATCACCGTCGAATAACACAAGTACTAAAACACAACCATGATACTGATATGAGTACATCATAGTTACCACTAGAAATACATCACCGTCGAATAACACAAGTACTAAAACACAACCACGATACTGATATGAGTACATCATAGACACCACTAGGAATACATCACCGTCGGCAACCATTTCTTGCTTTATGTCACTTGTAGCCCTCATTAAACACGTGGGTATTCATTTCTTTGCAACAACATTATGTGCCAGTTGTTATTAAATTACACGTTGTTGTTAATGTTAAATTGTTGTTTGTCAAAACATACTATGTATATATACCCCTCATCATCTGGTTGTATTCGCTTGATAATGATGTAAGGATCTACATCGAAACGTCGCTCTATGCAATAAATAAGAAGTTGTCATCCATAAAGTTGTATGTTTCATTTATGTCTTTCGTTCAGACGTCCCCTCCTTACATAGGCACGGACAGGAACGTCTCCGAGAAAACCGCAAATGGAAGGTGCATTGGTCTGGTGAAAGTCACATCCTCTACACGCTACAAACGGAGGACGTGTTCGGGTCTACGATCTACGCAATTGGGATACGATGGCATGTGTCAACCAAGTCCACACACACACACACACACACACACACACACACACTTTTGTTCTGAAAGTTTACTAAATGACCATTGAAACTCTTGTGAAAACGGGTGAAAATGAACTGTGCACCCCCTTTCTCAAAAAGCTGTATCCGCCCCTGTCCATGGTGGTGTGGGATTGCGTTATATATGACTGCAACTTGGATCTCATCATAGTACCTCCCAATTGCGTAGATCGATGTTCATGCTGTTGATTCCTGGATTGTCTGGTCCACACTCGATTATTTACTGACCGCCGCCACATAGCTGGAATATTCCTGAGTGCGGCGTAAAACTAAACTCTCTCTCTTACTCATTACAGTACCTGAGAAACTCACTGGTCAACGTGATCAACAGGAAGTACTGGATCCTGCCATCGTGCAACATTATAGAATAATTTTTTATGGATAACAACTTCTTTATTTCGTGAGTGCGACGTTTCGATACAGAATCTTGTACCGTTGTCAAGCAAGAGTGATACATGAAGTGGAGGAGATGTATATATATAGTGAATATAACAATGAGACAACATAATTGACATAAAGCCATAATTGATTAAGCAGTAAGCTGAATGACTGACTGAATTTGGTTTTACGCCGCTTTTAGCAATATTCCAGCAACATCACGGCGGGGGACACAAGAAATGGGCTTCACACATTGTACCCATGTGGGGATTCGAACCCGGGTCTTCGGCGTGACGAGAGAACGATTTATCCACTAGGCTACCCTACCGCCCCGCAGTAAGCTGATGAAGCTAGAGATGTACAAATCATATATGGCTATTATGTTGTTTTCTTTGTCAATTATGTTGTCTCATTGTTATATTCAGTATATATATACATCTCCTCCACTTCATTTATCACTTTTGCTTGACAACGGTACAAGATTCTGTATCGAAACGTCGCACTCACGAAATAAAGAAGTTGTTATCCATAAAAAATTGTTCTATATTGTACGTCTCAACTTCTAAAATGCCACTCAAACAAGTTGTCGTGCAACATATTGATAACCATCACCTTGCCAGTCGACCGATATACATGGATGACAACGTTAGACATCAATCAGTCACCACTGCCCATTCGCGGAACAACGCTTTCGAACCATTACCATGGCCAGGCAAGGAGCCCCGGTATGAACCCCATCGATCATGTTTGGGACCATTTTGGACCATAGGCGATCCCCTTTGTCCTGAAAGTTTGTTCCTGTGGACGCCAAGATCGAGCTATAGATCCACCTGTTTCACATATGCAACAATTGACACGGGCACTCCTCCAGGAATGGCAGGGAATGCTGAGATGAGAATTCAACACTTGATTGCCAAAATTAGGAGGAGACTAACAATTATTATCTGTGCGAGCGGTGGCTGTACCAGGTACTGGGGCGGTGGGGTAGCCTAGTGGTTAAAGCGTTGGCTCCTCACGCCGAAGACATGGGTTCGAATCCCCACATCAGAGGTACAATGTGTTGGGTTTAACGTGTGAACCCCATTTCTGGTGTCCCCCGCTGTGATGTTGCTGGAATATTGCTAAAAGTGGCGTAAATCCAAACTCAGTCAGTTAGTCAGTACCAGGTACTGATGTGGTCGCCAGTGGTGGTTCATACAATCCCAACAATTACCATTTCAAAACTATGTGACAATCAGAATGGTGGTGTAGTCATAGCGACCATACTTTCTCGCATTGATGATATTCCCGTTTGTGTATATTCCCTTTGGACTCCACCTAAATTACCGAATTTCAGTTTCGTTTTGGTTATAATCAGGGTAAATTTTGTCAGTTAACAATTTAATATGCGGAAAGAGTGAGTGAGTATGGTTTTAACCTGCTTTTAGCAATATTCCAGCAAATTACGGCGGGGACACCAGAAATGGGCTTCACACTTTGTACCTATGAGGGGAATCGAAACCGGGTCTTCAGCGTGACGAGGGAACGCTTTAACCACTAGGCTATGCCACCGCCCCTACAAGTGAGTGAGTGAGTATGATTTTATGCCGATTTTAGCAATATTCCAGCAATATGGCGATGTGGTTACACAAGAAATGGGCTTCACACATTGTATCCATGTGGGGAATCGAACACCGCCCCCTATGAAAAAATGATGTTCGATTAATACTCATGTGTATAGTTCACTTTCAACATACATGTCAATCAAATCTGACAACAGTTAATGTACACAGATCACATCAGTGGAATGCATGCAGAAATAAAACGCATCCTGCCTCATATTTATTTAATAAAAATCTAATAAATAGTTAATTGTTACCTTACCTATGACAAGACAACAGAAACTGAACATTAATTATGTAATATATTCAAGTTTATTCAGGAACAAAATACCTTAACTGACTCATAGTGTGTTGGTTTTAATACATGTTTTTAAATTCCAGGTGAAAAAAGTTATTTCATTTCCACCTTTCATAACATCACATATAAAAACCTCAACACACGAGTCACATTTAGGCTGTGATAACTGTAAGAGCAGAAACTGATGCAGAGAATTCAGTATGGATCCAGCAACATCACGGCAGGGAGTACACCAGAAATGGGCTTCACAAATTGTACCCATGTGGGAGACATCAAACACTTTCTCTAACTTATAATTCAGTATGGATCACTCAGTACACTTCACAGGCTTATACCATTACAGTACTTGGCTGCTGGTACTGACGCTGGTCCTTCGGTCCGTGACAAGTGAAAATCTTGATGGGCTAGTTGCATTTATTTTAGTTGTTTTCTCTCGAAAATAGGTGGGTATCATTTAGAACTGCTACACTGGACTGAACCGAGGACAATTGTGTCTTCTCCCAATACATTATGCTGTTAGTTCTTTTAGGTGAGGTTACATGAGGGTTTACCCAATTCAAGATTACTGCACTTACATGGCGATGTGTGTGTGGTTTGTAAAATTTTGCTTTATATTAATTCAATGAGTAATAGATTGCACACTTTTTACAAAAAATACATAGCGGCCATAATATTTCTGAGTCCCGTGCTGAGATTCGAACCACGGACCTTCTGACCCGTGGTTAACCCGGTCAGCAAGCTTATAAGGTAATCTATGTGATGACCACGTCCTGCAACATGTATTAGTATTGCCCAACCAATGTGCTGTGCAGCATCTCAGCTGTCTCAGTGTTAACCTGACAAGTTTTACCCTTCCCTTAAGGACCACACATTAATTACAGGTAATGGGTGAGTGAGTAGGGTTTTAAACACAGGGGTTCGAATCACTGTTTGGACAATAATTTTTTAAATAAAATCTAGATTTTTGCAACCGTATATTGTTTTTATATGTTATGAGTAACTTATATTTCAAATTTGAACGAAATCGGTGAAGAAATGGATTTTTAAGAAAATTCTCCCGCTACACTCGTTACAAATATGTAATGAGTGTAGCGGGAGAATTTTCTAAAAATTACATAATCTTAGGCGGGTTACATGTGAACCTGAGTTTTGGTGTGGGTATCAAAATATATAAAATATGCATACAAACATCTATTATCAACATTAAATTACTCCACAGCATGGTTTTATGCTATGGAGAAATGTGCTTCCAGTACACGCACGTATACAATGTAAACAGAAAAAATATATATTGCCTACAAATCAAGACACAACAATATTCATTGTAGAAGATTCTCAACAAGAAACATAAAGTTGTACACAATAATTCACAACACAACCTTATTTCTGTACATTACAATGTCCTCAGGTATTCTGTAAATCTTAGAAGTATTTAACTGGCTTTCTCTGGACCCTAAGTTTTATAGGACAAGGTAAAATCCTGACTACATAATGTCTCGGGTACCTTGACAATTAGGATCCATCGGGTCAGTCCAAAAAACAAAATCTGTACAAGAAGGGGTTTACTTTCAGTTCACAACGACAATTCCCAGCCTGAATTCTCCACATAATATATGACTGGTCCTAAGTTGATCACAAGTATTTGGTAAGATACATGGAAGCAGTTGCCTGCTCAGAAGAAATAATTTACATCATCAAGGGCTAGATCAAGGCCTTGGATAGGAATCATTTTTAGGCTTTAACAAGGGCTTTGTGGGGACAGTGTTTGGGCAAGGTCAAGAGTTTAGGTGGGGACTGTATTAGAGCTAGGGCTTGGGATGTGGTAGGACTTGTGTTTGGGGCTAGGGCTGGTGTTGGGATAGTGATGGGGCCAGGATGAGACACTGGGTAGTGATTGTGTTTGGAGATTGTGTCAGAGCTCAGGTAGGGGATGTATTAGGGCTAGGGCTAGGGCTAGGTTTGGGTTGGGCTGTATTAGACCTAGCACTTTGGTTGGGATTGTGTTTTGAGATTGTGTCAAGGCTTGGGCTTGGTTACTGATTGTGGCAATGCTAGAGTTTGGGTCAGGACTGAGCCAGGGCTAGGCCTAGATTCAGGGATTGTGTTAGGGGTAGGGTTTCTGTCGGGACTGGGTTAGGGATAGGATCAGCGCCATCTGGGACTACATGCGACTGTTGACCTTCTTCCTGACAAGCTCCACTTGACTCCTTGACAGACCAAATGCGGGACATTCCTGAAATATCATTATATGGCGATCAACTTGACAGCTTGATGATGTCAAAAATAAGAAAGCTTGACAAATTACACATAACAGTGAGAAGACATGAATTAATGCATGAAATGTTTGATAGAACCCAGAAGAGGTAATAAGGGCGTTCAAAGATCATGTTCTGTTGACCATTAAAGGGTAGTTAAGTCACAAATTAGAAACTGTCTGACACAGACTTGTGCATATCGTGAGTGAGTGAGTTTAGTTTTACGCCGCACTCAGCAATATTCCAGCTATATGGCGGCGGTCTGTAAATAACCATTCTGGACCAGACAATCCAGTGATCAACAGCATGAGCATCGATCTGCGCAATTGGGAACCGATGACATGTGTCAACCAAGTCAGCGAGCCTGACCACCCGATCCCGCTGTGCATATCGACATAAATATTGAGCTGTATTTTTCACAAAGAGGTTGCTTTGGTGCGTGTTACCGAAAACTGAGTCCTAAATTGTAATCCATCCTTGGGAAACTATCTCTATTATTCAAGCTTGAGAATTATCTTTCTCTTGTCTTTTTTATCTGTGAAAATGCGGGCTAGAATTGGTCTTCAATAACCCATGCTTGTCCTAAGAGGCAACTAATGGGATCAGGTAGTGAGGCTCGCTGACTTGCTTGACACATGTCATCATATCCCAATTGTGTAAATCAATGCTCTTGCTGTTGATCACAGGATTGTCTGATCCAGATTCGATTATTTACAGACCGCCGCCATATAGCTGGAATATTGCTGAGTGCAGCGTTAAACAACAACCAACCAATGTTTCTTTTTCAGTTTTGTTTCCTACCTCGTTGAACTGCTCAAGAGTTCCGTTCCCACCAAGGTAGCCATTGAGTCGGGCAGCAACAGATGATGTGATGATTTCTTCGTCAGTGAGGTGGAGCGACTGGATGATGTCTGGATAGTGACGCAGCATATACTTCTGGTGATAGCTGAGAAAAGAACAGAGTTACTGTAACACTATCAGAGTCAAACATTTGCTGTTCTTTACCTTGGAAAATGCCTATTAATATGTCTTCATTTGTGTTGTTTGATCATTGTTTCATGCAACATTCAGCAATATTCCATCTATATGAGACAACCTGTAAATAACTGCATCCCACCCAGACCGATTGATTTTATGAATAACTCCTCATACCAACAACTCACCATCATATACCAACAACTCAACTCCTCATACCAACAACTCATACCATCAACTCACCATACCAACAACTCCTCATACCAACAACTCACCATCATATACCCATACCAACAACTCCTCATACCAACAACTCCTCATACCAACAACTCACCATCATATACCAACAACTCACCTCATACCAACAACTCATACCAACAACTCATATACCAACAACTCCTCATACCAACAACTCCATCATATACCAACATATACCAACAACTCCTCATACCAACAACTCACCATCATATACCAACAACTCCTCATACCAACAACTCCTCATACCAACAACTCTATACTAACCATCCTATACCAACAACTCCTCATACCAACAACTCCTCATACCAACAACTCAAGAATAGTGCCAACAACTCCTCATACCAACAACTCTCATACCAACAACTCCTCATACCATACCAACAACTCCTCATACCAACAACTCCTCATACCAACAACTTCTCATACCAACAACTCCTCATACCAACAACTCCTCATACCAACAACTCCTCATACCAACAACTCCTCATACCAACAACTCACCATCATATACCAACAACTCCTCATACCAACAACTCCTCATACCAACAACTCCCATACCAACAACTCCTCATACCAACAACTCCTCATACCAACAACTCACCTCATATACCAACAACTCCTCATACCAACAACTCCTCATACCAACAACTCATCATACCAACAACTCCTCTCATACCAACAACTCCATACCAACAACCAACAACTCCTCATACCAACAACTCATACCATACCAACAACTCACTCACCATACCAACAACTCCTCATACCAACAACTCCTCATACCAACAACTCCTCATACATACCAACAACTCCTCATACCAACAACTCTCATACCATACCATACCAACAACTCCTCATACCAACAACTCACCATCAGATACCAACAACTCCTCATACCAACAACTCCTCATACCAACAACTCCCCATACCAACAACTCCTCATACCAACAACTCCCCATACCAACAACTCCTCATACCAACAACTCCTCATACCAACAACTCCTCATACCAACAACTCACCATCATACCAACAACTCCTCATACCAACAACTCCTCATACCAACAACTCCTCATACTAACAACTTCCCATACCAACAACTCATATACCAACAACCAACATACCAACAACCTCATACCAACAACTCCTCATACCAACAACTCCTCATACCAACAACTCCTCATACCAACAACTCCTCATACCAACAACTCCTCATACCAACAACTCCTCATACCAACAACTCCTCATACCAACAACTCCTCATACCAACAACTTCATACCAACAACTCCTCATACCAACAACTCCTCATACCAACAACTTCCATACCAACAACTCCATACCAACAACTCCTCATACCAACAGCTTCCCATACCAACAACTCCATACCAACAACTCCATATCAACAACCCATACCAACAACTCCTCATACCAACAACTCCATACCAACAACTCCCCATACCAACAACTCCTCATACTAACAACTCCCATACCAACAACTCCATACCAACAACTCCCATACCAACAACTCCATACCAACAACTCCATACCAACAACTCCCCATACCAACAACTCCTCATACCAACAGCTTCTCATACCAACAACTCCATACCAACAACTCCATACCAACAACTCCCCATACCAACAACTCCTCATACCAACAACTCCTCATACCCATACCAACAACTCCCCATACCAACAACTCCATACCAACAACTCCATACCAACAACTCCCCATACCAACAACTCCCATACCAACAGCTTCCCATACCAACACCATACCAACAACTCCCCATACCAACAACTCCCCATACCAACAACTCTCCCATACCAACAACTCCCCATCATACTAACAACAACTCCCCATACCAACAACTCCCCATACCAACAACTCCCCATACCAACAACTCCTCATACCAACAACTCCCCATACCAACAACTCCCCATACCAACAGCTCCTCATACCAACAACTCCTCACACCAACAACTCCTCATAACAACAACTCAACATATAGCTTGTTTGTTTAATGCTTCACTCCGCACTCGGTCATAGTTCAGCTATATTATGTAGGTCTGTAAATGTCTCTACCAGACAAACCAGCGATCAACAGCATGAGCCTCAATCTACGCAGTTGGGACACGATGACACGTGTCAACCAAGTCAGCAATAGTTGATAGTTGCCTCTTACGACAAGCATGGGTTGCTGAAGATGAACTCTATGAATGATAAAAATACCATACTTCATGATGAACTCTAGGTGGTATTAATGATAAAAATACCATACTTCAAGATGAACTCTAGGTGGTATTAATGATAAAAATACCATACTTCAAGATGAACTCTAGGTGGTATTAATGATAAAAATACCATACTTCAAGATGAACTCTAGGTGGTATTAATGATAAAAATACCATACTTCAAGATGAACTCTAGGTGGTATTAATGATAAAAATACCATACTTCATGATGAACTCTAGGTGGTATTAATGATAAAAATACCATACTTCAAGATGAACTCTAGGTGGTATTAATGATAAAATACCATACTTCATGATGAACTCTAGGTGGTATTAATGATAAAAATACCATACTTCATGATGAACTCTAGGTGGTATTAATGATAAAAATACCATACTTCATGATGAACTCTAGGTGGTATTAATGATAAAAATACCATACTTCATGATGAACTCTAGGTGGTATTAATGATATAAAATACCATACTTCATGATGAACTCTAGGTGGTATTAATGATAAAAAATACCATACTTCATGATGAACTCTAGGTGGTATTAATGATAAAAATACCATACTTCAAGATGAACTCTAGGTGGTATTAATGATAAAAATACCATACTTCAAGATGAACTCTAGGTGGTATTAATGATAAAAATACCATACTTCAAGATGAACTCTAGGTGGTATTAATGATAAAAATACCATACTTCATGATGAACTCTAGGTGGTATTAATGATAAAAATACCATACTTCAAGATGAACTCTAGGTGGTATTAATGATAAAAATACCATACTTCAAGATGAACTCTAGGTGGTATTAATGATAAAAATACCATACTTCATGATGAACTCTAGGTGGTATTAATGATAAAAATACCATACTTCAAGATGAACTCTAGGTGGTATTAATGATAAAAATACCATACTTCATGATGAACTCTAGGTGGTATTAATGATAAAAATACCATACTTCAAGATGAACTCTAGGTGGTAATTAATGATAAAAATACCTAGGTGGTATTAATGATAAAAAAACATACTTCATGATGAACTCTAGGTGGTATTAATGATAAAAATACCATACTTCAAGATGAACTCTAGGTGGTATTAATGATAAAAATACCATACTTCATGATGAACTCTAGGTGGTATTAATGATAAAAATACCATACTTCATGATGAACTCTAGGTGGTATTAATGATAAAAATACCATACTTCAAGATGAACTCTAGGTGGTATTAATGATAAAAATACCATACTTCATGATGAACTCTAGGTGGTATTAATGATAAAAATACCATACTTCAAGATGAACTCTAGGTGGTATTAATGATAAAAATACCATACTTCAAGATGAACTCTAGGTGGTATTAATGATAAAAATACCATACTTCATGATGAACTCTAGGTGGTATTAATGATAAAAATACCATACTTCAAGATGAACTCTAGGTGGTATTAATGATAAAAATACCATACTTCATGATGAACTCTAGGTGGTATTAATGATAAAAATACCATACTTCATGATGAACAGAACTTACTCCTCAGCATTATAGAAAGTCTTTGCCTTGGTAATCACCGTGGCGATGGGTCGGGCTCGATTACCCTGCTGTTCCTTCATAGTAAGTTCTGCCAACTTCCTCTGCTCATCATCTTGGTAGAAAATGGCCGACATGTACTGCCTGCTGCGGGAGGATGTTGGGTCATGATTCTTCCAGAACATCCCCAGTAGAGAACGGAAACTGGTTACCTCGGGATCAAACACAACCTCCACAGTCTCTGTGTGGTCACCCCTGACAACAGAAACAACGAAAACACAATTTGTTTTAACATCTCTTTAAGTGAGTGAATTAAGTTTTACTTTGCACTCAGCAATATTCCAGCTATAAGGAAGTATTCTTAAATAATTATGATCATAGTATTAATCAGTGCATGTTTCGTTTGCAATGTCATGATTGTGTAACATTATTGTCCATATAAGCTTAGTGGTGGAATGTCATGATTGTGTAACATTATTGTCCATATAAGCTTAGTGGTGGAATTTACAACAACAATCAACTGATTGATTACAGAGCTCCGATTTTCGATCTACATATTATGAGCCACCAGCTCAAGCAGACAAGTCTTGAAACATTATCACAGTGAGTTACAGATTTCAACCTTTCAATTATGATCAGCAAAGGTTGCTAGGGAAATATCCTCGTCCAGAATTAATAGGAACTTAATGATGTAGAAGAAAAAAGAGGCTCACAAGTTTCTGTAGGTGGGGTTGGGAGTTGTCCCCCCTGTGAACCCCACTCGGGTGCCAATCACTCCCGGGGCACAACCAAATTGTGCCTCCGGGAACCAAAATCAGCTCATGGCAAACGTAGCAAGGTGCTTCCTCATGCTTCCTGCTAGACACTGTCACACCCTACAACAGATAAAGATAAATAGACCATGAATTAACTTACTCACAGGAGCATGGCATGGGATAAGAACAATCAAAGCTTCTTCATAGAGAATACTAATTGTCAATAGAAGTTGGATGTTGAGTGAATTGTACATTGGGTGATTTTAATACCATAAGGGACCGTTCATAATTTATGGCTAGGGTGGGTGATGATGATTTTAAGAGGGAGGTCACCCATTTTTTTTCTGGGGAGCTAGGGGGTGTCAGCAATTTTGTACACACATACTAGGGGGAGTCAGCAATTTTGTACCTAAAATTATAATTACATTTATGCTTAGAAATTGGGGGGGGGCATTGATTTTGTACATGACAACCAGGGGGTCACTTATTTTGTACATAAATCATTTTCTCTCTCTCTGTCTGTCTGTCTGTCTGTCTCTCTCTCTCTCTTACACACACACACGCGCGCACACACACACATACACACTGCGTCATTATAAATTATGTCGCTCAAGTAAATGAAGTTTTCTGAAATAAACAGCAACATGGACAAGGAAGTGTGTCATATCTGAGTTTTCTTAACAATGTTTGATGAACATTTTCGCTTGTTCTGTGTTTGCAAGCTAATGGCAGCGATGAACGAAATAAATTTTAAAAGGCGTAAGTCTCACTGAGTAAACCTTGTAGACTAAATTCCTGTTGACTTTATATGTCTGAACAGAAGACGCCCGTTCGTAACGAAAATCGATCAGTTGTGTAACACTGTTTGTGTCTACACTCCCGACACTGTATGATTTCTGTGTCTATAAGGTGTCGTAGGAGCGGATCCTACATTCTCGGCGTGGAGCTCGAAAATGTTTGGATTATTGTCGTAAACGAAATGTTTTTCTACCTCATATTTCTTTGTAAACCAGAAATCAGACGATAACAAAAGTCTTAACAATACGTGTTTGCCTTGGTTTTTGCAAATGAGATGATTTTTAACAATTAGGACAACACGGTTTGCCGTCAATCGAAATGTTTAAAAATACCAGTGTTACAACAAATATTAGTCATAACTAGACATACATATATGACTATAACTTAGACAATATATACTGTCTATGTATCATTAAAATCATGCCTGTTTCCACCGTGCTAACAACAAATCTACTTGCATGATACAAAATACAAATAGAGCAAAAGTGTACAAACAGGATAGCCTCTGACATGTTTGCTGAAGTATGTTGTGGAGAGGATAGTTTCAGGACGCTTGACAATATTTAGAGTGCAGTTTTGACAATGTTGATCGTCTGCAAGAAAGCTTTCAAAGGATTGCATGCAGCTTCTTCAACGTGTAGTATATAGTTTCCATGTGTTATATGAAATTTTTCATCGCCCCAAAATGGAGAACAGCCTCTTAAAACGATGTTACGGAAGGAGCACCTGATAAACATTTGTCATGTTCCGCATCCTGAACTGCGGAGGCTCGTGACGAACTGTCAATCTCTGAAGTTTCTGTTTTCGATGTCACAAGAAGCAGGGGAGTATCTCACATGATTACACCCACCAATACCCAGCCTCGTCTGTCTGCAAAAACGGGTTAATTCTTACCCAAACATGTCATCACACTAACATTTAAAGATCATACTTACTGGACCTTGTCACTTCATACTCGCATATTAGCTTGTGAATAATACTTTCTGTTTTACACAGTGGTAGTTTAAATTCAAGCCATTGCGAGATGAGAAAAATGCTTCCGGGTGTTGGAGTGTTTGGAACCACAGCAGTAATTAAATGTGTTGTACCTATCCTTAAGATATGTGGTTTCAATGTTGTCGCGCTGTGGGGATGTACAGTTGAAGAAGCAGACGCCTTAGCAAAGGAACTTGGTATTCCACACAGCACTAACAAGGTCGATGAGGTTCTTCTCGACAAAGATGTCGATCTGGTTGTCATCAGTTGTTCACCACATCTCCAGGCTCCTATTGTTGTGAAAGCTTTGAGAATTGGGAAGCATGTTTTGTGTGGGTCGCCATTTGGACCAAGCGAAAAGGGAAGCTCTTCATATGGTCAATGCAGCTCGGTACTATCCTCGACTGATGTCGTTGATGTGTCATGGATTACGATTTTTACCAATCGTGTCCAAAATGAAAACTTATATAGAAGAGGGATATGTTGGCGATGTGACAATATGTGAAGTTAAGGTGCATTATGGGGCATATCCAAGGGAGAAGTTTGATTGGATGTGTGACGAACTAATGGGAGGTGGCGTTCTCAATGCAATGGGAAGCAATATCATTGACATTGTCACTTTTCTCACCTCACAGAAAGCGTTACGAGTGCATGGAATGCTGAAGACATACACAAAACAAACTGAGAAGATTAAGGGTATTAGAGAAATTACAAGTGATGATTTCTGCACATTTCAAATGGAAATGGAAAAAGGTGCCAGCACAACAGTAACAGTTAACTCTCACATGCCAGGCCAATTTACTCAAGAGATAATAGTTATTGGAACGAAGGGGAGATTGGTTGCAAGAGGTGCAGACCTTTTCGGGCAAAAACATGACAAACTGAAGGAAGATCTGTTGCATTTTGATCATGGCAATATCAAGGAAGACAAAAAGTTTGGTATTTCTGATCAAGCAAAAAAAGAGATACCCATTCCTTATCTGAAGGGAATGATTCGTATGATTGAAGGGGTTAAAGATGCTTTTGGAAGGGAGGAAGAACGACAGAGCTGGTGCACAGAACCTCTGCAGCTTGCAGCTACATTTGAAGATTCCTTCTACGTGCAGACTGTTGTTGATGCAGTTCGTCGCTCCAGCAAACAAAAGGAATGGGTAAAGGTAGTGTTGATGACCGAAGACCCAGAGCCAAACCCCTATCTCTCTGCAGCAATGAGAAGAAGCACATTCTCATTACAATAACTGCACATGTTTAAGAACAAACTTAACTGAATCTCTTATCTTCTGAACAAAAAGTTAATATTCAAATCACTACACAATGACTTTAAATCAGAGGGCATGTTTTTGTGCTAGATCTCATTCATAGATATTTTATGTCTTCAGTGAGGGGCTAGAGCTGTATTTTTATGTCAAAACTGTTCTTTCTGATTTTACAGAGACATATATTCATCTTTAGAATTTAATGCTATCTCATGAAGATTCAGACTATGGTGTCTACTTAAGAAATGCAGAAATGTGTGGTTTTAGTCCAACATGACCAGAATTCTTGTGGATGATTTTCTTAATTCATTCCATATAGTTTATGATTCATCACACGCTGTACTGAATTATTGTCACAAATCATCAGAAAATTATGGACATTATTGGTTATGTTTTTATGGTACATATTGATGTGATTTCAAGTGCAAAATATATTTAGCCTCTTTGTTCCAAAATTTTTAACAGCTGATGCCCTTGTAAACATATTCTCATTTTCTTTCTGTGACACTGACAGATGTGTAAAATATGAAAAAAATATGTATATTATTCACTCTTCTCAACCAGTATGACTGAGACATTTAAAGAAATGTGTAACAGGGAAAATAATGGCTTGTCTTTTTAGTTAAGTTTCTGAGTAGCTTTATGAATTGAAAAACCATCCTTTCCTAATTGTGACATGCTTGTTTTATGATTATATGGAAAGGTCTTCCTGCAGTTGTTTTTAATTCCTAAATGTCCGAAAATATTTTTCTTTATTTATCATGTTTGTATTTTTCATTATTTATCATGCTAGCTGAAGTGCCAATAGTTTTGTTTTCATCAGAAAACAGGTCATCACAACATAGGGCATATTCACCAATATTTGAAACACTTTGCAGGGCTCAATATAAGTATTTAGAACCTGCCACTGTTGCAACCTTAAACTTCAAAATGCAACTTCATATATATACCAACTTGCACCCAGTTCATGTACCGGTATATATATCTTGCTGTACAAAGAACACAGACTCCAGTGGGAAAACAATGATTAGGAACTGGCTTGGAGAAGTGACTCTGATGACTGCACAGGCATTTATTTGATGGTCATGTCATGAAATTTGGTGAAGTAAGATGAAATGATCTTATCAGAACCAAATCATCAACATGAACACTCAAGCATTATATATAATTTTTGTTGATTAGCAGGTGCTACCTGTTTTTGTCTGATGGAACAAGCTTAAGTAAGGTTGCACGGGTGCAAGTATGTTTCATGCCCTGCTTTTTTGGGAGAAAAATGTCTGCAGGAATGAGGGTCAGAGGTAATAGAATGGACAGGGCTGCTGTCATATTTATTTCCCAAGAATTAACTTCAAGATTTCTTTTGCGTTTATGAAGGTATTTACATAGAAGATTTACACAGTATGTACACCAAATTTTATCTTTCTACCTCCATAAATGCAAAACATATGTCAATTCTTAAATGTTTTTTATAAGTTGACATTCTCCTTATTTGAAACATAAATACACTAAATTCAAATACCTTAACTCGAAAGGTTTGAAAAGTCACAATTTGTAAAATGAATAGATAACTGGGTGAACTATGCAATTCATTTTAAACTTGACTGATCAGCTACTTATGTTATTTTTATGTTTCCAAATAATTTTATGTTTTCCAATTACATGAGATTAATGTATGGGTATGCAATTGGAAAATGTGGAAGATTATGGATTAGAAATCTCATTCCAGTTTCTGGTATTTTTAAATATTTTCATAATAATACTCCTGGTGATTTCTTCATTTTAAATCAATATATTTCATTGCACTTCTCAGTTTATGATTGCCGAAGAGATGCAATAACGTTTAAGCCCGAGAATTTGACATGATTGATAATTGGAGAACTAAAAGATCTATATTATCTTACATCAGAATCAGGCACACATGACAATGTATAATAGGTCCATATATGATATATTCAGAGGTCATAATACCCCAATATATATTCAGGGATTTTTTTTAAGATGTAGCATCATGATCATCATCATGTGTGTGATGTGCCGAATAATAAAGGCTGGAAGTGAGCAGTTCGAAACTTTTATCTTAGATTAAAATTTAAATGCCTCATTTTTTATTTTGCGATAACTGGCCTGTTAGTTTTTCTGATAACAACTTTTCAGTAGATGTACAACTCCACAGCTCTTAGAGATAAGAGTTTTCTGCATGTGTACAGAATATTCCAGATTCCGTTGTGTCTAGGGTCACTTTTATGATTGATCCCATTATAATATGTCAATTGATCATATAGTCCCCCAGATTCCTGGTTAACTATGAAAAGATAATAAATCTGTTCTTATCCCGGAGCTCTAATCAGCAAGCTTTACTTAAAAAATAAAGAGTATCAGTGTCAGATAAAATTAAACTTTTTTAAAGTAATAGAAAGAATGGCTGTTCCTGTTCTAATCGTTCCTTGATGTGTTGATATTTTTAAATGTTACTAGTATTTGTGCATATCTCTTTAGGGAAATGACAACATTTTGCATAAAGTTCTCAAGGGTATGTCTTGGGATATATATTTTATGTGTGCTCAGGTTTTTATCCAACATCAAAATTTGATCTGTTCAGTTGAGAGATATTATTGTGACATGGACACAATTACTGAAGGACATTGTTGTCTGGTCCAGTAACTGAAGCAGACATCCAGCATATCTGGAGTCTCATTGTCAGTAATTATCAGTACTTGTTAGGGGTGAAACGGTATACTGCGGTATTAGTAGAACTGCAGTATTTTGCCTTCAGTTCGGTATACTGTAATGCAGTCCAAACATTCAGTATTTTCGGTTTTGGTACCGTCATTTTATTAACCTTCTTAAACCTTTTCTAAAATGTCTAGAAATCGAATCATTTTGTCAAAATCTATCTAGGTTTGGCTCTTGTTGTCAAATTTCTGCATAATAATGATATCTCATTTACCAAACTGAAACGGACCGAACCAAAGGCCTTGTACCACAATATGTACCATGGTAAGAGCATACCGTTTCACCCCCAGTACTTGTTACTGTATCCCAATTGTGTAGATCAGTGCTCATACTGTTGATCACTGGATTATCAGGTCCAGACTCAATTATTTACAGCCTGCCACCATATAGCTGGAATCACAGGGGCGTGTCACGCTTAGAATCAGCTTTAGAAAGACACATAGTTATATAGACCCTACCCTAGAACTATTTAAAAGGATCCTTTTATATAGTACTAGGATAGGGTCTATATACTTATATGTCTTTCTAACGCTGTTTCTAAGCGTGACACGCCCCTGTGGCTGGAATATTGCTGAGTGTGGCGTAAAACTAAATTCACTCACTTTGGAATGTACAGGATCTTTCAAGCAGAACATTCAGCTTGTAAAGTCCAGTACACCATGCTGTTGACACATGTAATTCAAACTGTTTCCATGGTTATTAGTGACAGACTGATTAGAATATGGGCAACGTTAACGGAGTGTTTCGGTAATTTAAGTACAATCTCTTTAGGACCAAAATATTATTGTGATAGTCTCATTTGGATATCACTGCACACAGGGGTAATAATATATTTATCATGCAGTGATTTTGCTTGAGGACAATTTTATGGGATTTATTTTCAATTTTTGACTTTCATCTATATCATAACAAACTCTGAAACATCTTCAGATTATTTTGGATGAGTCAGACAATGTTTTAGAAAATGAACTGATCTCACTTGCTTTTATGTCATGTCATTCTTCAAATAATATTCAAATAATTATTTTGGCGGTGGGGTAGCCTAGTGGTTAAAGCGTTCGCTTGTCACGCTGAAGACCTGGGTTCGATTCCCCACATGGGTAATATGTGTGAAGTCCATTTCAGGTGTCACTCGCCGTGATATTGCTGGAATATTGCTAAAAGCGGCATAAAACCATACTCACTCACTCACTCACACTCAAATCATAATTTCAGCAAGTATAGTATAAAGTAAGTATGAAAGCCAGCAAGTTCTGAATGTAAACTTAAAAGGCAATGTCATTATTTTGTGGATATTTTATACACGCTCTCATCTTTTAAAACCATGGCATCTATACCACAAAAGGATTAGTGCATCAAAGGAATATCTGACTGCTTCATTGGATGTTCAATGCGGGTTTCCATTTGTGAATATATGATTATGAACCTGCTTTTAAGGACATGTAAGATGTATAAAATGAAAAACACTTCATATATGACCCCCTTCCTGGTGGCATGTTGGTCGATGACAGTTCTGTTATTCTCTATGTTCATGTGATGACAAGGTTCTGCATTGATGTTGTCATGACATATGTGCTGCATGTATGGTGTTGTTTCAAGCAAATGTTGTAAGTGATGGTGCAGGATATTGTGATATTGTTGTTAACTGCGAGTGTTTGTATTTGTGACACAAGGTTTTAACCCTATGGCTAACTCACGCTGCAAGAATTGTACAAGCTTAGTGTTTTACTCTTGAGAACTGTGTAAAGAACTGAACGAATTTTTCAAAATTATATTTAGTGTAGAATTAATCTAAAATAATCCAAGTTCTTTTGAATGTATTATAGAATGGTCAATACAGTTTTGAAGACTAGGACCTTTTTTATTGAAAATCATTTGCGCCAAATATGTCCGTTGTCCGTCAGTTTGAACTGACAGCCGATTTGGAACACTGGTGTTAATTATTGCTACTACTGCCAATGTCTCTGAATATCTGAATTGTAATGAAATAGAGTTAGGAAAGAGGGGGAATTAAGTACTTAATGAATAAAGCATCCTGGGTAATACATCATTATGGAGAAATAAGGCCCAGGGTCCCGATCCACAAAGAATGTACAGCGTTACAACCTATCGTAACTCTGTACTTTCACATTGGCTACGAATGATGTAGTGGTCTGCACACTTTGTTGATAATGATAAGCCATTATGGAGAAATAAGGCCCAGAGTTCCGATCCACATAGCATACGCAGCGTTATGACCTATCGTAACTCTTTACTTTATCATGGGCTTAAGATTGGTGTAGTGCTACGAATGCTTCATGGATAATAATGTCATTATGGAAAGATAAGATCCAGGGTCCCGATCCACATAGCATACGCAGCATTACGACCTATCGTAACTCTTTACTTTATCATGGGCTTATGATTGGTGTAGTGCTACGAATGCTTCGTGGATAATAATAAGTCATTATGGAAAGATAAGATCCAGGGTCCCGATCCACATAGCATACGCAGCATTACAACCTATCGTAACTATATACTTTATCCTGGGCTTACAATTGGCATTGTGCTCTGAATACTTTGTGGATAGGATCCCTGGAGTAAGTTATTTGTATGATATATTCTGCAAAGATAAGAGTTTTCATAAAAATAAACTTTGAAGCCAAGTAGGTGGTAACCAGTTGCATATATTCCTTCGTGAAGCTAAATCAGTTTATTTTCTCCTTTAGTGAAAACAACTTCCCAAAAAAAGATAAGACGGAGTTCATTGTTTGACTTAAGTCTGACAGCATGGGATTCTTTTGGTCCAGCCAACCAGCTTTTTGTGAACTGAACAACTAGAAGTTATCTTACCAGGGCCCCGTTCCTCAAAGCGATTGTAGCGCTACGACTGTCGTAAGTCTATGTTAAAGTATGGGAGTTACGATCATCTTAGCGCTACGATTGTTTCACAGGGCAGTCTTAGTGCTATCACTACTGTACGCCTATCTCAAGGTATAGGACTTACAATGTGTCTTAGAGCTATCATAATATCATTGGTTTGTGGAATGATGTCAGAAACATGGGACTTTACCCTGCGAATACAGAAGATTTAAGTCTAAATTCTAATTCTCACCCTCACTGTAGATACTGTGATGTAATAATACAGGCGGATGATTAAGAATGAGATACCGGGCTTGATGGAGGTTGAAAGAGCATCCATCAACCTTTTGGGACCATTACTAACAATAATTATACTAACTAGTCGTCAAATGAAGATCAACATCCTGAAGTATATTTTTTAATTGTTTATGGAGAACTATTATTGTGATAATTGTTTCCTGAGACCAAATAGTTGGACAATCCATTATCCAAGAGCATATTATCAACAAACCTTGATTATCTGCTATTGTCAATGTGTTACTCAGTTGGAATTAACCAAATATACTGAGAGAAACAAATAAAGGAACACATTAAAATTCAAGTGTTCCTGAACATTTTCAAGTGTTCATCACCAGCTTTGAATAGCACTGTAGGAGGAAATGTGAGAATAAATAAAGGAGCACTGCAGTGAAGTGGTGTTCCCTTATTTGTTTCCCTCAGTATGTTAACCTTGGTTCGTATGAGTGCTTTACATAGTCTTCATAATTGTAGTGTAGTTGTCGGACAAGCAGTATATAGACAAACAGTATTTGTTACATAATGCCATTGTGATGATTTGAGACAATCAGTCTTTGAATACTTAAGCCAATTTTTCAGTTTTAAATAGAAAATACTATATTAATGTAGAGGATGTGCACGGGTTAAAAATTATTTGATATTTATTTTCATCGTTTGTTATGACAATTATAAGAGAAACCATGAACAATACATGATAAGGTTCATGTAATATTATTGCCCTATAAATCTGGGCCTAGATTTTCAAAGCTCTCTATGAGCTAACATAGTCATAAGTTTATGTTAATGTATGGCACTTACGACCATCATAACACTAGGAGAACTTCGAAAATCTGGGTCCTGAAACATATTGATCTGTAATTGATGAGACATTTGATATTTTGGAGGTGGATTTTTGGGATACAGTGGATGTTTGTAAAATAGTTTTCAAATGATAAAACAAAAATTAAACTGTTTGCTGGATGCTTTGAAAAATATGTCCCGTCAAACCCTTAAGGTCATCGAGGTTACAAGAAACTGTAATGTCTTGATGAACTTCATCACACTATCCCTCTGATTATCAAATGGTCAGTTTTCTGTGTTTTGTTTCTTTTTGTTTAGCTACTCATACAAACACCACATTACATGATGTGTATAATTCTGTGATAGTTAACCAGTATTGTGAGATTTTCATAAAATAGTCACTATTCTATATCTCGGATATAACAGATGGGAACTTGAATGGATCTCATATTATTTTGGATAAAGTGATAGCTGTATTTTTTATGAAAAAGGATCTGTTGACCATTTCAGAGAAAGTGGAATGATTACAAAACTGATTCCTATTGAGGGCATGTACAACTTTGAATTATTGATACAGTGTATCATCATAACACAGGTATAATACATTTAACGACAGAATTTTATTTACCCCCCAAAGTTTGTTGATATATTCAGGAAGATGTATTGAGTGGTATTTTCAGATAAAACTCTGTACCTCGACTGATGCGAATGCAGACAAGCATGACATCTGAGGACTGGTACTTGTCACAATCCTGAATAAATCAGAAGTCTCATCTGATTGTCAACGGCCACAAAAATCTGAAAACTGTGTGAGAATTCTGTTCCTGGAGGCTGAAGGCATAAATGTTTTCATTCATTTTATTTTGTGAAATGAATGTTTTATTTTGATATCTTTCAGCAAGGAGGACACAGAATTGCAGTAAAGAATTATATCTTAATGAGATTGGTGTTTAATCTTACTGGTTCAGAAATTACGTTTATTTATATAGGGTGTTGGTCAGACATTGAGATGTTGTCAAATGGGATATGTATATCTGCACAAACATTTTTTTAGTTATTTTAGATTTTGTTTTTTTAAAGAGGAAACATTTACTAAAGATATTCTAGAGACGTACTGGTTTATCTGTCATTGTTCAGGGTGTATATTCAGACCCAGACCATCCTCAATAATTAAGGGTATCACAGCTCCATTCTGTTATGACAGACACATGGGTCCATTTACACCCCGAAATGTTTGCATCACGTGAGATGCAATAATCCTCATCACTAATTAAAACCTTTCCAGTTTGTCTCGCTTGGCAACCAATCTAACGCCTCTCCTCCTAGTGGATAAAGCATTCAATTGTCACGCTGAAGGCCCCGGTTCGATTCCCCACATGGGATCAATAAGTGAAGCCGATTTCTGGTGTCGCCTGCCATATTGCTAGAATATTGCTAAAAGTGCTAAAAGAACTAAACTCACTCACTCCAGTTTCTCTTGCTCGACAACCAATCAAATGGCTCTCCCCAACATGATTGAAGGACACATTTACAACATCATGGTTGTGTCAGAGCAACTATTCTGTATCTTAAAAAACAGTAAATTATGTTTATAACAAACCGTTATAACGAACAGATGGATATAAACGAACTGTTTTGGTCCTGACGACTTGCTGTATATTTTTTGTCGAGATATATAACTAAGTATGGCTATAAGGACTAAAAACTGATGGTATCCTCGAGTGTTAGAACTTTAGGTTACTGTACAAAAGAGACTGCTGAGTTCTGTCCATATCCTTCGCATTCTCTCGGTGGGGTAGCCTAGTGGTTAGTGTTGGGAATTGGTTGAAATCTCATAATTGATGATTGTTTCATTACCAACAAACAATCATCGAAAAAAATTGGTTAGCATCATTTTTCAGATTTTCTTATCCAGGTTGTTATTGCAGATACTTATAACATGATGCAACTTGCTACTTTAAAGTGATGACTAATATATCATGAACATAAACTTCCCGGAGTCTTCAAGAAATATTCAGTAATGGCTTTTCAGTTAGTGAAGTGAGTTTTCTAAGAATTAAACATGTTTTCATGCCCTGACAACTTCAACGATATGTTCCATTGTCAAGTATTTCAAAGACTAAAACAGTAGTTCCAAAATCGTTTATGTTCAATTATGAGAAAATGTGATCGATTGCTTGGTCGTTTGGTCACTACGATCAATCTTCGATTATTTCAATTAATCCGAACACCACTACTAGTGGTTAAAGCATTAGTCTGTCACACTTAGGTTCGATGCCTATGTGAAGGCCATTTCTGGTGTCCCCCCACCATGATATGGCTGAAATATTGCTAAAAGCATCATAAATCCCAATTCACTCACTCACTCACTCAATGATGTTAAGGACTGTGATGTTTGATTGAATGTCCAAATTTAGCTTCATTTTTTTCCACCGGTCTCAAAATGTCCATCATGTCCATCATAACAGAATGGAGAATTTCAATAATAATGTCGAGGATGCAACAGCCAACATAAAAGAATGATAATACAAAAACTCCATAGTGATCTTCAGCAACCCCCGCTTGTAAGAGGACGACTAACAGGATCGAGTGGTCAGGCTTACTGACCTAGTTGACATGTCATTGTATCCCAACTGCGTAGAATGATGTTCATGCTGTTGATCACTGGATTGTCTGGTCCAGACTTGATTATTTACTGACCGTCATGATATAGCTGGAATATTGCTGAGTTGGCGTAAAACAACAACCAAAGCAAACAATGGTGGAAACTGATCATTATTGTTCAAGGTGCTGATCAATGTGTATAGTCTTGTTAAGGATGTGTGCTTATGTTTGCAATGTTGGAGTCAGTGTGAAGCATGTGTGGCAAATGCTGTGCACGTTGTGCTGATCAAAACAGTTTGTTTTCTTATCTTGCAATGCCAGTAAAGGCGAAAATTGTATTTTAAGTTGTTTTAAATTTCATGTTAGAAAATGCATATTTTCTAATTTTATATACTCTTTCTCCTGACATGGTTTTATATTTTATCATGTCAAATTTTGAACAATTGAAAGTTGATGTCACCTTATTTTACATATTTCACTCTTAAGTATATCTTCATAGTGATGGGCATGGTCAGTTGAATAAACTAGCCCTTTCCATTGTGACGCTGTGTATTTCTAACTGATGGTGCAAGGTCATATTTTACATTTTTCGTTCTTTCTTTCAATACAAATTGATGCTTGCTTTTTTCATTAATTTTGATTCAAAGTTACTGAACATCAATGGTAGGGATATGAATGTGTTTATGTTGTCTGGAAATAGTTAGTCATGATTAATAATTCCTTCCATAATTTTCAACAATAAAACTAAATCCGAAATAAATAAGATTAATAAAATAAAATATTTTGGTAACTCTTTTACAAATGTGAAATATTGATATCTTACCACTGCTGTGTGTAAGATTTTTTTAATAATAAGTATAAATATCTGCATTCTAATTGAAAATAACAAGCTGTTATCTTTCAGGGTTTTTTTCTCGATATTTGTTAATGGTGACAATGAGAATCATTGTGGCATGTGATTAAGGATACCGGTAATCATTTTCATGAATTAACAGATTTGTTCAAAATTCATCTTAAAAAAATTAAAACAACAAATTATTGCAAGTGGAAATAAGAAAAGTACGTTTGAAATTGGAATGGTTTTAATTATATCTTTAGGACAAAGTTCTGCAAGCCATAAGAAACAAATCAGGCGAAATATGTCAGAGCACAGAAAGCTGTAGTAAGAATTATTTTACAGATGTTAAGCTAAACTAATTTGCTCTCAAACATTGGCAGTAAACATCGATGTAGAATTGATCTTGCACCGTAAGTTGACCTGTAATAAACCATGACTATTTGTACCCTCACAAGTGTATGTAACAAACAAAATGTACATTGAAACCATAGGTAAGTGTAAGCTTACACAGTTACACCGACTAGACTCCCCTCCTTCCATTGTGAAGGACACAAGTGAAGACACACCTTTACAAACGGTGCCTTTCCCATTTCCTTTATTCTGGTTTCTTTTTAGCATCTGCACATCCATGTCACACCTACCATGTTTCAGTTTTAGTTTTTGTAGTAAGTATATATTTGGTGCATTGTTGTTATATTTACTGTATTAAACATATCTCACAACTGTTGACAGTTTTTTCATGTTGTTTGTCATGTAACACTGTTCTATTCAGAGTTAAATATATGCCCAGCAGCCTGTGCTGTTTATGAGAATAAGGGGGCGGTGGGGTAGCCTCGTGGTTAAAGCTTGTCACGCCGAAGACCCGGGTTCGAATCCCCACATGGGTACAGTGTGTGAAGCCCATTTCTGGTGTCGCCCGCCGTGATGTTGCTGGAATATTGCTAAAAGCGGCATAAACCCAAACTGAGTCAGTCGTGGTCAAAGTGTCAGCTCATCATGGTGGTGTGTGGTCCTGTGCATAGAGCTCAGGTCACAAATCTGTTGAAGTTAAGCAACGTTGGGCACGGAGAGTCCTTCGATGGGTGACAATGTTTGGCAGCTTGACTCCTGGGAGTTTCTAGGACTATAACCTTCTAGTGCCTAACAAGCAGCTTGGGTTATACAGGGTAATAATGTTCCCTCCTAGAATTTGTGATGCGGCGTTGAACAGCTTTTATACGATGCGCCATAGAAATCCATTATCAATCTCAATATCATTGCTGGAATATCGCTAAAAGGGGTGTTAGTGAGACTCATTGTAAATTGAGGTGACGTGTGTATGTGTGACTGCTTGTACTTGCCAAGATTCCCGAGTCACGCCCAAGACCTGGGTTTGTTCCCCACTAGTGTTGGGAATTGGTTAAAATCTCATAATTGATGATTGATTCATTACAACCAATAAATCATCGACAATAATTGGTTAGCGTCAGACTCATTTATCAAATTTTCCTGGTTAGTTTGTTAACACACCAAAAAATAAAGACAAAACATGTAGTTCTTTTGAGTACTTTGCAAATTTTACACCTTTAAAGGATGACTAGCATGTTAGGAACATAAACTTCCTGGAGTCTTCAAGATAAATTCAATCATGACTTGGAACTAGCTTGCAGTGCTTATGAAATGTAACAGACAAAACCAACCTTGTCACGTGTTGTGAAAAATATTGTTAAAGCAAACAAGTGTTCCAAAATTGTTTGTGTTCGATTAGGAGAAAACATGATCGATTGCTTGGTCGTTTAGGCATTGCAACCAATCTTCGATTATTTCAATTAATCGGACCACCACTATTCCCCACATGGGTACAATGTGTGAAGCCCATTTCTGGTGTCCCCTGCCGTAATATTGCTGGAATACTGCTAAAAGCAGCGTAAAACTAAACTCATTCACTCCCTTGCCCTGACTTAAACTGGTTTTATAGTGCTAGCGCACTGAGATACCATGCCACAGTTAAGCATGAATACCCCACGCAGACGCATTATACTGACTCTGAGCCGACCAGTCCTTGTTGCACCCATTACTTCCGACCGCCAGGCAGGGACCAACAAGTACCATATTTTAACGTCTTTTGGTACGACGCGGCTGAGGATAGAACCCGCGACCTTCCGCCCTCTGTTCAGATACTCTAACAACACTACACCACAGAGGTGGTCCACTCAATGTAGCATTAAGTGGGCAATAAATGGCCACATTTCATTCTTACAAAAGATTGTCACTGTGACTATCACACCACAACACAGCAATATGTCATCCCGTCATACACCTGTGAAATTTTGACAGTAGCTTTATAGAATGTAACTTAAGGAGCCGGACATGGATACCAGGCTATGAGTGAGTTAGTTACACCGCACTCACAGCATTATTCCAGCTATATGACGGCAGTTTGGAAATAATCGAATCTGGATCAGGCGATCCAGTGATCAACATGAGCATCGATTTACGCAATTGGGAACCAATGACGTGTCAACCAAGTCAGCGAGCCTGACTACCCAATCCTGCTAGTCGCCTCTTAGGACAAGCATGGGTTGAAGACCTATTCTACCCCAGATCTTCAGCATGTGTTTATCCACATGCATTTGAAATCTATACACTATTCAGATTGTAACTGGCTATACAATGTTCAGTTAACTCTCATTTCATGTCAACATCTTTTAATTGTTGTTTATACAACTATAAGCATAGATAGTGGTGGAAACTTAACAAGATCATGAAATGGAAGTATGATTTGTCATCCATGACTTGTCTCAAACAATATAAGGACACCACTCACAGTAAAACATTGTCCTCAATTTGCTGAAACAATGGCCCTAAAGTATCAATATTCACATCCACCTGTATCCACAAATGCAACATGTCACTCGCGACAAATAAGAGTTATGTGTCGCAAAACAGCCACATAAAACTCTACACTTTCATCGAATTGCATTGTCTATTAGATGTTGCAGTGACACAGGTACCCAGCTCTGCGTGTTCCCAGTGTACATAAACACAACGCTGCGATCCAAATAGATCTGAAGGTTGCCGAAACGATACACTTGATGTCCTTCATGAGATTTGCCGGCAATGGGCATGAACAAAATGTTATTATCATTAGCTTTTCTTTCAAGCAAGTCCTTGAAGCTTGTTGGCACGGATGGGTTGATGCTCCGAACAGCTTGCATTGTCTCTGCCTGAGCTTGTGTCTGTGACGGTGGAGGCTGCACTGGTGGTTGTACATCCATCTGACGGCGCTCGGTGTGGGTGAAGTACGCCATATTTTCACGCACGCCTGGCTGGAAGTGTCCCGACACTGACTGATTCATTATCTCAAGGGCTTTGTTAAACTGTTCTTTAATCACTGTATGGGATTTCATCTCCTCGGGAAACTGTGCCTTCCATCCAAGATACCATTTGGTGATTTCGTCAAAGTTTGGCATATTGCTCAGCCAGCCACATAACACCTGAAGCCATCGTGGAAAGAAGGCTTTTTCCAACACAGATATGAGATGCTGTGTTGGAAGGATGCCGTACCAAGCCATGAACCATCTCCATGGATTCAGAACCTGTTGATGGGGATTGATGATCAGCTCCTGAATAGCCTGGCCCAACTCCGGTAAAATGTTTTTGACCAGGAATGCGTCCATGTGTCCCTGCTTGAACACCCGAAGCCATGGCTGAAGAATGATTTTCGCTGAGGCATCAGATGGATGCCAATTCACTAAAGCATTAGCAAGCTTATGTCTGATGGGAGCATAAAGGGGCTCCAATTTGTCACCCATCAGAGGAAGCCAAGGATGGATCCATGCATGTACAGGCATTGTGTCTGTGAGAGGATTCCATGCTTCAACTTCCTGTAGTAACCGTGGCAACACAAGTTGATCAAGGATGTTCTCCATGATCCATCGGGGCAAGGCTGGTTGCCAAGTCTCCAGAACGCAGACCAGAGGGTCGTAGTTTCGAACATTCCACCGCAAGATGCCGCTGCGGATTGGAGGCAGCCAGGTGTCCCAGAGAAGTCGTTGGTAGGTGTCCATGTCGTTGATGTCATGATGCTGACCGCCAGGCTCCTCCAGCAACACCCTCCACTCCTGGACTGTGTTGAAGCCATAGCCTGGTTCACTCAGTGGTTCCCAAGGTGCAAAGAAAGCCTTCATTAGTGGGAAGACCAACGCTATAGCCAACGCGTCCATGTCATACAATTTGTATTCCTCATAATAGTCTTTCTGCATCATCTTGAACACATCCACACATTCATCCAAAGTGATGGGCACCTCACAGTTTGGTTGTGTTCTTTTTTCGCAATCTTCAATAACTTCCAACAATTTTGACAGTTTCTCAAGATGCTTTTCTTCATCATCACACACAGCATCTAAACGCTTCTTTTCATGCTCTATGTTGATCACTGAATCTTTTGAATGTTTGAGTTTTCTGTCATTCAAGATAATATCTTCTTCTGACATGTCAACCAATAAATTGAGGTTGTGTAGCAATTCTGGCATGTCAAACACTCGTATCTGTTTCTCATCAGTGTAAACAACCTCTTCTTCATCTGGTTTGTCATGGCGGTGGGAAATGGCATGATAACCAGTCAAGACACGCTGCTCACGTCCAGTCATGTCAATAACCTTCACCTTGCTTGCTTTCATATCAAAAGACTTCTTCTTGCGACCTTGACCCCCATCAATAGCTTCTTGAGCAGTTTTGTACACATATTTCGGTTTCTTTGCTTTAGTCTCTGTACGCTTCCATTGGTGAAGTTCTTCCTGAAATTTCTTCTCATCCTCATCCTCTGAATCAACCACAGGGAAATCAGCCAGAGATCTTGATGACCTTTCAGTTCCATGGTAACCAATAGCTCCTTTGCCTCTTCTCTTAACTGCTTCCACTGGAGTTGTGATGCCCTGACCTTCAGATCCCAAACCCTCACCAGGTTTGTAACCCATCCTTTGTAATATTTTCTGCCCAATACCTCGTGTGTGTTTTTCCCAATCACCAAATTCTCTAGTTTCATGGTGTCCTTTAAGAAAATGGGGTGTAGCTTGTTTACTCATTCCACCCTTTGATGCAAAGGGTCTTTTGGCATGCTTTGATTTCATGGTAATGGAGGCACCGGAATCATTGGAATCACTCCCAGTCATGTCATCTTTCTTCAGTTCTCTCTTGAATCCACCACTAATGAAATTAACAGGTGCAGTATAATCTTTTTTCCTTTTACCTCCCCCAAAACTTGGCCTCTCTTCCTCTTCTTCGTCCTCTTTTTCTGCCCATATACCATATATCGCTTGGTTCTTTGATTGGCGAAAAACTCGAGGTGCAAAGGCATCTTCCAAATCCCGATCGGTTACTTCAAACCGCTCAACTTCTGGGGATGACATTTTGATATGTGAACGACGCGTGCACGTTCAAATACTGACTGGTGTTCAGAAATGATGCCAAACGTTCTCGCACCGTGTGAAGACAGGAAGTTTCTGAAACGGCAGTTAGAAAATGATAAATGAAATCCGGAAAGTAATTCACATGAAATTACATGACAATATGAAATAAAGACCTTTATAGTCTTTATAAATAATACTGTGTTATATCCGTTTGTGTTTGTAATGGTTATTAACATACAAAATAGACATCTAAGGTAATCAATTATTAATAGACAACATTTTCCACAAGAGAACAAGTTCACATTTTGTATTTCTTTGACCCTTAGTCTAGAGTGAGCTCCCTTGTGCAACAAGAGGGCGCACTATGCCTAACATGGCAGCCTCCACGATCATGCCATAGAAGAACGTGTCGGATTCAACTTTAAAGTTATATAGGTAGCAAAACACATGCATATTTTAAAGAACAGTGCCAGTTGGTTTTGCTTATGTATTGTTTGGTGTTTCGAGCTGTAATGGAACATGTGTTACGCTTGATCATACAAGGCAATAGGAGTTAACGTCGAAATCAAATATCAAATGAATAACTGCCGGGCTGTTTCAACTTTCAAGACGCTTTCCACTTCGTTTATATACACACGCATCAAAACACATTTGGCACAAGTCAGCCATTCGGTTGTCACCCAGAAAAACATACTTGAGAGCAACAAGCACTGGTGAACGTTCATGTTTATTCATGCTTATAGTATTTGGTAGTAACTGTTAGATGTGCTTGCATGCATTAGGCTTAGCCCTAGGGGTTGTTTTGCACGTTTGTCTCACTCCTTCTGTATCATAAGCTGTGTCATAAAAATTAAGCATAGCTAATGCAAGAATGATTAGTCAAATGATTGATAGTCAGTCAGTTAGGAAGTTAAAACTTTCATTTCCCGTCTTAACATTTTTGAAAATTTCAAAAGTAATTTCAGATATTACCTCTTGTAGTCCTACTTGATTCAGACAAATATACCCTTTCTAATCAATTTTGTCATCTGGAAATGGTTGTTGGTATTTTGTTCTGTATCTTCACCGTTGAAAGTATTGTTTGCAAGGTTGCTTTAGTTGCATTGTATCGGGTGCCAGTCAAATCGCCCCAGCTACAAAACGCCCCAGATTTTTTGTCAAATCGCCCCAGGTTTGGTCAAATTGCCCCAGGAGGGTAGTCAAAATGCCCCAGTGTATTTAGAATGATTAAATATATGCCATAAATGCATAGTTTTTGTCAACTTCCATGTTATATACTTCGTATAATATTATATAGTAATATTTCGGATAAATTTTCTATTAGTGTACTGATAAGAGCAAAAGTAATATTCATGTATAGACAACACTGTAAAACAAATTATTTGCATGTTATTAATGCTTTTGTAACAAATTACAAGAATAAAATGAACTGTTTGTATAGAATGTTCATTGGCCATAAATGCATAGTTTTTGTCAGCAAGTATGGTATAATACTTATCAAAACAATCTAGAGCCTTTGTTAATTAATCTTGTTAAAAGGTGAGGCCATAAATGCATAGGTTTTCTCAACAAGTATGGTATAATGCTTATCAAAACAATCTAGAGCTTTTGTTAATTAATCTTGTCAAAAAGTGTGGATAAAAACAGGCTATTAAAACATGTTCACTAATTGACAATCAATGCTGTGTTTAGTTGAAGGAAATGTTGAGGCTCGAATGTATGAGCATTTCAGGCTATAAAAACATATTCACTAATTGACCATCACCTATCGAGATTCTAAAATGTAATTTTAAACGATTCTAATATCTACAGTCATTTTGACTTAAATTTCAGTAGCAGATTTTGTCAAATCATACATTCTCGTCTCGAACTTGAATGTAGTGACCTTAATGCGCATTAATATGAAAGATTTATATCTCTGACATCATCCTGCTCTTGTGGCCATAACTATGAAGACTCTGCTCACTATTTCTTTTCATGTACTCTTTACAACGATATACGTCAAATTATGTATTTTTATACCAAAGGATTTGACCTAAACAATTTTGTTTGGAAACCAAAGCTTCTCCTCAATAGTAAACAAAGAACTTTTAATTTCAGTGCACTCTTTTATAAATTTAACAGGCAGATTTGATCCAAAATAATTTGTTTATATGACATATACTGTTTAACAATGATTGGCGTTATTTCTCATTTTTGCAACATTTATATATCATTCACATTGTACATTCATCATGATGTGTTTATCCTTCCTTCCATTGTATCCCGGAGCGGTATTCATATAAGCTTATACTTTTTTACCAATCCGGTTCCTTTCTTTGGAAATAAATGTTTAAATCATGAATATTATACCATACTTGTTATGATTACACAATGCCATTTGTTGACCAAAAACTATTTACAGCCAATAAACATATTATACAAACCTTTCATTTTACTCTTGTAATTCTTTACCAAATAATTGGTATTACAGTGTTGTCTGTACATGAATATTACTTTTGCTCTTGTTAATTTACTAATACAAAATTTATTAGAAATATCACTATATAATATTATATATAGCATATAATATGGAAGTTGACAAAAACTATGCATTTGTGGCATATATTTAACCAATTTAAATACATTAGGGCAATTTGACCAAACCTGGGGCATTTTGACCAAATTGGCTGGGGTGTTTTGTAGTTGGGGCGATTTGACTGGCACCCATTGTATCCTAATTGCATAGATCTATGCTCATGATGTCGATTACTGGATTGTCTATAGACTAACAACTAGTCTCTGATATGAACATATCTTACTGAAAAAAAGTTCATAGTAAAAACAAATAAAATATAATGAAAATGGAAAGGATCCCTGAGACCTTTTTCATTTTCAGACTAACAACTAGTCTCTGAAATGAACATATCTTACTGAAAAAAAGTTCATAGTAAAAAAATAAAAATATAATGAAAAGGAGCCCTGAGACTTTCTTCATTTTCAGAAGCTGAGGAAATCTAGACTTGCCACATTTTCTAGACTTGCGTGGGCTTTCTTGGATATATTTACTTCAGGGTCTGTACGAGAGACTAGATTGTCTAGTACAGACTCTACTTTTTACAGACCCCCACCATAACAAAACAACAAGCAAGACTATAGCTGTACTTATTATGCATTTCTGATTTTCATTTTGTATGTTCCAATGGGCTCAGCTGACAAAATGAAAAGAAATTATATCTTTAAACTTCATATTGACAATATCTCAATATGAAGGTTTTTTTTCAAAGGCTTTGTTTTTTACAAATGTCAGGCACAGGTAGCCTAATTGCTTTAGGTGTTAGAATGTTTTGTTCATGCCTTAATTTTGCCATAAGTCTATGATGGTAGCTTCAAATTCCATATTTCCCAGTTATAACTAGGTTTGTCATGGATTTTATCTATGTCTTCAATGTCAAAGAGCACTATCACTTCAGAATATCCTACAGGCCTGATATGCTGTTATACGGGAACAGTACAAGAACTGCACCTCCCTCCTTCACCCTCTTACTCACTCACCCATTCATTCACTCATATTATAGTCCGTTTGGCTCAAAAGTGGACCGATGAATTGCAATCTAACTCGAAAACTAATAAACATAAAATACTCAATGAAATGCTGATCATAATGAAAACATCATACCCACTCTGTGAGGTTTTTGCAGAATTTTTGTCCTAAAAATTAAAAAAGTTGTTTAACAAACTATCATTAAAATATTGACACAGTTCACTATTTGTTACGAGGGAGGAGTGCAGAGAAAGGGACAGCCAGATGTTCAAGAACGGATGGAGACGGCACAGCACAGGTTAATGAATAAATAACTTTGTCTGTGATCGTGCTTCTCGAACACTTGGCTGTCCCTTTCTCTGCACTCCTCCCTCGTAACAAACAGTGAACTGTGTCAATATTTTAATGATAGTTTATAATGATAGAATATAAAATGACCAAACAAATATTTGAAACATCTCATAGAGATAAGAAGAATAAGAAATAAGAAGGGTAAGATACCTTATGGATGACAGCTCCTTTCTTATGCTATGATTAGGGCTGTGCAATATAACCGGTATTAACCGGTTCAGACATGAAAACGATACGTACTGCGATATGCTGATAGAAAACCGGTATTTTGACTTGTGTTCGGAAAACTTCGTAACACTCAGAAACCTTGATGATTGTGGCAATTGTGGTAATGGTGGTGGGAATGATCGTGGTGAAAATTACATTTAAATATTATCTATATTCCTATTTTGTCATGATTAAAAGTTTTTATTAAAGCTTAATGAAGCATAGTGATTTTGTTGTGTTTTTTTCTTTATAAATAAAACATTAACTTGATCATTAGTAGTTTATTGTTAAAAAAACCTTCTTGCAATATATTACAATACATATCGCAATATAAGCTTTCGCATCGCAATATATCGCAATATGAAATTCTCTGCAATACCCACCCCTAGCTATGATGAAACATTTTTGTGTAGGTTCTTATACATGAAATAAGTTGTCATCCATAAAGTATCTTACCTTTCTTATAACTCATCAACTTCTAAAATGCCAATCAAACAGATCTCATAGAGGGTTTGGGTTGTAGGACAGTACTTCCTCTCTATTTCAAATGAATATCCCCATGGAGAGAGTGACAGAAGCGGATATAGACGTAGTCAGTCCGGCAGCCCCTAATTGGCATTCAGAGTGCCTGTGTTATTTATTTTGAGTTTGCATGATTAAAAAACACATTCCAACTTCGCTTTCCCAATCTTGTAAATGAAACTAATTAATAAAATGAAAAGTTGTTCTAAAGTGACCAATAACTGGACATCCTGAGGTCATTTTTCTTCAGCAGCAAGACATAAGAATTTAACTTACAGTTCTCATGTAAGGAGTCAATGTTAAGATTTATAAGTGTATTTATTTAGATATGTTTCAAATCTATATACTGTATGACCATTCTTATTTCATGACCATTTGTCTTCTAATTAGTTGTATTCCAACAAAATACAGAAAACAGATGGGTTGTGCTGATCTCTTGAGAACACCTCAGGCTTGCAATTCTATGTAAAAACACTCTTAATATTTCTGTGGTACAACAATATCAAACTTGCCTGTTACATGAAAAGCATTTACTAGTAAATCCCAAACCAGATGTATGTTTTTTAAACATACATTTTAATGTAGAGCATCTCTATATAAATCAGGCTGGCCATTCAGCTCCACTTACATTAGTAAGTGAGAGAGCATTGTTTTTATGCACTTTTAGCAATATTCCTGCAATATCATGGCTGGGAACACTAGAAATGGGCTTCACACATTGTACCCACAGAGGCCTAGATAAGCTGCGTATCCGGGGTAAAATACGCATATAAAATTTCCAATTACGCATTGAAAAATAATTGTTGCGTACCAATTACTCATTTAAAATGTTAGATACGCAAAAAGTTTAAAACAAATGCGTATGGAATATATTTATAAAAATCGCTTGCGTAATGAAAAAGACATCGATTGCTATCAAAAGTTATACTGTTAGTATAGGACAAGTCTTGTACTGTCAGTATAAGATGAGTGATTTTTTATGAAATCATTTCCATTATATTTAAGTTGGTTTTGATTAGGTGTGACATAAGGCAGAACATACCTGCTTAGTAAACTTACTCAATGACATAATAAATACTTAGGTGAGTAAAATGACTGAAATACGCACATATTTGAAAGCAGTGGGTAACGGAAAATGAAATACCCACTCAACATTCATAATACCCACTCCAACAAAAAAATACAGTGGGTACAGTACCCACATGAGCTAAATCTTATCTGGAGCTCTGTACCCATGTCGGGAATTGAACCCACATCTTCTGCATGACAAGTCAACACTTTAACCACTTGGCTACCCCACCGCCTCACTTACATTAACTAGCGCAAACTCGTAGATTATATGTTTTAGATCCATCAGTGTGTTAAGTTTGAGAATTCTGAATATTGATTTATTTTGCATTTCCAAAAGCTGGTGTTATCTTAAACTAGTTGTTTTTACTTAATATTTCACGAGCACATGATGTTTCTATGTCATACAATATTTATAATTTTTAAACTTTTCCTATCTCACGGTATGCTCTTCTCTCTCTTGATTCGACACTGAGTGGATCGATGTAAACTTTTTTCCCTTGGCCTCTCTTGTCCATCCGCCCAAGCACTCCATGCTACCCTCATTATAAGACAGCTTCCTAGTTGTCATGCAAAGCATGCGGCATGCACCACTAGCTACCCACGTGACTATCTCCGAAGTATGCAATAACAACTGTTTTAGTCAGTGTAACCATGGTTACCATGGTAAAAGTGCCATTTTTGACAATCCCAGTCAAGTTTTCACCAATTTGGTGCTACTTTCTTTTGGTGTCATTTTGATGTTTTAATCCTTTTTCTCTAACATTAAACAGTGTAATTGTCTTTCTTTCAGATAAACGAAGATGGCGGACTCCCGATCTGAAGACACCCCGGAAGTAGTTGAGAGTTTGCCATCTCTTCCAACAGTAACGGAACACCAGAGAGAGTTGGGGTGTCAAGCACTGAGAGAGTTTGAAAACCAACAGTTTGGACAATGCGTTTCAACCCTTCATAAACTACTGAAGGAGCGATCATCCGATGTCAAAGTGTCCCAAAACAAAGCAGTGGCTGAATTCTATCACAGTGGTTTAAAAAATGTGGAGGAGTTCAGAAAGAAACTGAATTGTGTATGTTACCATGACGTTGATAAGTCATATTCCATTGCAGTACTTAATGGCTTCAAGAGGATAATGCTACTTGCTACCACACATGCTACTGTTATGTTTGCTGGAACTAAAGTTATTTTAGATATTGTTCTGTAAACATGGTGTAAAGATAATGAACTATGAAAAGGAAAGTACAGTCAAATACTGATGAGTCGAATGCCGGTGTCTCCAATATTATGTATAACTCGAAGTACCTGTCGGTCCCGACCATTCCCTGTTATAGTTGTCATCATTTGAATACCGGTTACACGAATTCGTCTCATAAATACACACGATGACTCGAGAAGGAAATTTGGTCCCATGAGATTCAAACAACAGCAATCTTGTATACATAAGCCGAAGTCAGTCAATGAGAAGTTGATTGGTGTAGCAAACTGATCCAATTAACAAACCAGCGCGGCTAACACTTTTCCGCCATTGACGGGTGAGTTCAAAAGGCAGATTTGTGATTTTACGGAAATCACTGTCTGTGCTAATCAGACTGGAACTGATTAGGTGCCCCTATTAGTGATAGGGAAATCATTAGGTAAACAAATGCTTAGGTGGAGGAATTAGGACTTGATCATCTTTTTTTCTACCCTCACAGACAAACCTATGTCTCGAATACATCGATATGTCGAATGTATTACTTGGTCCCCAGCGATTCGACTCATCGGGATTTGACTGTAATCTGAACAATAATTATATGGGGACATTAAAGAGCTAATGGGTTCTGTCAACATCATTATCAGGCATTTGGGGGATTTCTAATAAAAGGGCAGGTAACTCTATCCTCATTTGCTTACAAGGAACCTAAAAATTTTACATGACGCTTGTCTATGTTGGTTGTGTGTTGCTGAAGATTGTGAGACCTTTCGTCGAGTGCTGTTTATGTCTTGTCTCTAAAAAAGAAAATGGGCTGCATTGTCCCACAATTTATGGCCGTAACAAGAGAGCAGAAATATAAGACTCTTTTCTTTCTTTCTTTAACCCCTGTGTTGAGTTTCGAGTAGGACACCTACTTCCCCTTGTCATCAGAACTTAAAACGGGTCACAGAGTGATCTCCCTGCCTGCATTTAATGAGAACAGACCCTTGTGGTTCAAACAGGAGAATGTTCTTGAGGTCCTCTGTTATATTTGAATGAAATCTCAAACTGTGATATTCGGTGAACGGTCCCTTGGGTGACAACAAGGACTCTCTTACTTTTAAGCATTGTTCTGAACACTCGAACCCAAAGTGTTAAGATGATGCTCACAACATCAACCACTGGTTTGTCCAGCTCATTCTTTACAGGCAGCCTTGTTACAGTTGAAGTAATGCTGTCTTTGGATTTACAATGTCCATTCACTCACTACACATGTACTTTTCATTGCGGGGCGGTGGGGTAGCCTAGTGGTTAAAGCGTTCGCTCGTCACGCCGAAGACCCGGGTTCGATTCCCCACGTGGGTACAATGTGTTAAGCCCATTTCTGATGTCCCCCGCCGTGATATTGCTGGAATATTGCTAAAAGCGGCGTAAAACTAAACTCACTCACTCACTCACTCACTCACTCACTTTTCATTGATATTATAAACTTTGCTATTGTGGGGGAGGTAGGGTAGCCTAGTGGTTCAAGCGTTTCCTCATCACACTGAAGGCCTGAGTTGGATTCCCCACAATGTGTGAACCCCATTTATTGTGTCCCCAACCATGATATTGCTGGAATATTGCTAAAAGCGGCATGAAACCCAACTCACTCACTCACTCATTCCAGTGACCAGTGAAGGTCCGGGTTAGAATGAATCTTCGGTAACCCATGCTTGTCATAAGAGGCGACTAACGGGATCGTGTTTCAGGCTTGCTTTCTTGGTTGATACATGCCATCGGTACCCAATTGCACAGATCGATGGTCATATTGTTGATCACTGGATTGTCTGGTCCAGACTCGATTATTTACAGACTACCGCCCATATAGCTGGAATATTGCTGACTGCGGCATAAAACTAAACTCACTCGCTCATTCCCGTTCTAATTTTTATCCCAGTTCTCCATCAACCCTGATGCATTCGACAGCTTGGAAGATATGGACCATGCGTTCGTGTACTACAACCAGGCCGTGCTTCTGTACCATCTCAGACAGTACCGGGCGTCTCTCAGTCTCCTGGATAAGTTATTTCAGTGCATTGAACCGCTGGGTAAGATGTACTAAATTTTACTAATTAGGTGGTAGAATGGGTCAGAAGGAAAGTTCACATCTTCTCTGACCAAGTTGTTTTCGGTTCATTCAGATGAAGCAACATGATTGTGGTTAGGGTTTTTACCACCAGAGAATAAGTTTGAAAGTGTTAACTTTACTCAAGTCCACCTCCTTGCTACAGAAAGCTTTTTTCGGTCTGCAAAATTTGGCCAATCTACAGTCACATACAGTATGCTTGGTTAACGAATGTGTACGTATATGTGGTGTTCCAATTAATTGAAATAATCGAAGATTGTTTGAAGTGACTAAACGACCAAGCAATCGATCACATTTTCTCATAATCGAACACAAACAATTTTGGAACTGCTGTTTTAGTCTTTGAAACACTTGACGATGGAACATATCTTCGAAGTTGTCGGCCTGAAAACTTGTTTAATTCTTAGAAAACTCACTTCACTAACTGAAAAGTCATGACTGAATATTTCTTGAAGACCCCAGAAGGTTTATGTTCATGATATATCAACATCACTTTAAAGTAGCAAGGTGCATCATGTTATACATATCTGCAATAACAACCTGGATAGGAAAATCTGAAAATTGACGCGAACCAATTTTTATCGGTGATTGTTCGTTGGTAATGAAGCAATCATCAATTGTGAGATTTCAACCAATTCCCAACACTAGTACGTATGGGTGGCTGGAGTACTGGAGAGGAAAGGAGAGTCATACTTATCATGCTTGTAAGAGAGGGAATCATATAAATCTGGGGCTGTGGGTTAGCCTAGTGGTTTAGGCGTTCTCTCATCACGCCGAAGACAGGGGTTCGATTCCCCCCATGGAAACAATGTGTGAAGCTCATTGCTGGTGTCCCCCGCAGTGATATTGCTGGACTATTGCCAAAAGCGGTGTGAAACTAAACTCACTCACTTATCTATACCTGCTCAGAGATCCCAAGCCTGCAGCAGATTGTAATGGAGTTTCTCGATTTTGAATTAGAAAATTTCCAAATTCATCCGAATTTACATAATTAAGAACATCAAATTTGTACAGTATCATGATTTTGTCCCAGTTCACTGCCATAGTCACATAGTTTGGAATCCTAGATAAATCCTGGCAACTAACGGAAAGCCTAGCTGTAGACACGTGGCTACCAGTGGTTTTGATAGTATATTTAAAACACTGATTGACCGGTGGAGAACCAGGTTAGAATTGATCTTCAGCAACCCATGCTTGTCGTAAGAGGCGTCAAACGGCATCGGGTGGTCAGTCTCGCTGACATCTCATCGTATCCCAATTGCTTAGATTGATGCTCATGCTGTTGATCACTGGATTGTCTAGTCCAGACTTGATTATTTACAGACCACCTCCATATAGCTGGATTATGCAGAGTGTGGTGTAAAATTCACTCATTAAAACACTGCTTTAACTGTAACATTATATGGGATTGGGAATGAGTGTCATTAAGCAATTAAAAATAATTTTAGTAAGCGAGTTGTCTAGTATCGATACAGAAGAAAACATGTATCTTGGCTTATCAGTGCATCCCTGTACTGTTTCATCCTTAGCTTTCTGCTTACTTTAGTTTCCAAGTGTCTTTGAATGTGAGCTTCGGTACCTCTGGTTATGACAATATATGCTAATAGTCAGTATTTCTCCACAGAAGAACTCCTAGCCAGAAAGGTGCTTCTGCTGCTCGTGGAGCTGTACTTGTGCACGTTTCAGGTGAGAGAGGATCAGTGATGCTTATTTTGCCATAAGGCAAAAAAAAATATATGTCCGTTTCCGGTAACCCAACTGACCCTATCCTAACCCCCCGACCCTAAATCTTTCTTTAACCAAGTCAATATCATGACTGGAGTGCATTTCAATTTTCATTTTTATCCAAATCAAGTATAATATTTTTATGTTTTTCAATGTACATAGGGCTAAAATGGATTGCACTGAATTGGCATAATGGGCTCTCACTGACAAAACCTGCAAATTAATAACATAAATAATGATTTCATTTCGAAATCTTTCAATGTTTCATCACAAGGCATTGTCACTACATGATATGGTACTCTTGAAAACCTTCTCAGGTGCCCACCTGGTGCTACTGGCTGCCTCCGTGGTGTAGCGGTTAGAGCGTCTGCCCGGAGAGCGGAAGGTCGCGGGTTCGATCCCCGACCGCGTCATACCAAAAGACGTTAAAATATGGTACTTGTTGGTCCCTGCCTGGCGCTCGGCATTAATGGGTACAACAAGGACTGGTCGGTATACTGTGTCTGAGTGGGGTATTCATGCATGGTATCTCAGTGGGCTAGCACTATAAAACCAGCTTAAGTCTGGGCTAGTACAAGCAGCCGCACATACACATACACACGCATGCACGTCGTCATATGAGCAAAATATTCTCAAGCACGACGTTAAACCCAATTTCACCTCACCTCACCAGGTGCTACTAAAAAAAATATTTAAAGAGCGGAAAAAAAACATAAAACCGACCCACCCACCCTATTTTTGAAAAGCATGTAATAGGAAGGGACATATATATGTTTTGACCTAGGTGTGGTCATGATGGTTATACTATTGGAATCAGGGGTTCAAAAATTTTTTAAAAAGCCACTTGCCACAGGGCAAGTTACTTTAAGAAAGTAACCTGTCCTGACTAATTTTCCACTTGCCCTGATTTTATGCCATAATTATGATGATGTAATTATGAAAGAAGAAATCAACATGGTTTTTGATGTTAATGTTTACTGGACTTTATTATCATTGCGAAATGTAATAGCTACATTTTGAGCAGATATGAAATTAAATCCAAGTTTATTTGCGGTTTGAAATCATAAGTGGAAATTATCTAGTAGCCCACGGACAAGTAAGATACCATTATTTGATTGCCCGAAATGAAAACTGACTTGTCCCGGGCGTCGGGCGATGGGATTTTTGAACCCCTGGGAATTCAGTGTCGGAACAGGTCCCCCACCAGCAGTGTAGGTCGTACCAGTGATCAGGACTTTAGGCCTAAAAAAAATAATGTTGTGGTTCCTATTACCCGACCGACCCTTGAATTCTGGTGCCGACCCTATTTTTTTTAATTGGTATGAACAAAATAAGCTTTCAGATACCATTGTTTTTTCCCAGCACTGACAGACATCGGTCATTCTGACAGAGAAAGTCAACATGATGGCCACAAGCTTGATTAATAAACAATTATACATTGATAAATGTGTTATTAGTTTGTACTTTACGTCTAAAAAATTATGTTAAAAAACAAATTCCTACCTACCTACCCTAAATTTTAAAGAGGTGTAATCGGAACCACAACATTTTAAAAAAAATTTTGGCCTCATTTGAATGATGAGGAACTGGCTAGAAGCATGACTGTTAATGTTCATGTTATGCAGTTTTATGAATATATTCATTACCTGTACGGGGCGGTGGGGTAGACTAGTGGTTAAAGCGAATATTTCGCTTGGTATGATTATTGACAAAAATCCCACGCGAAAATAACTACGATTACAGTAAGCAATTTCTGCTGTTTTACAATGCCAACTCACTAGTATTCATCTCACAGAGGCAGAACTTCAGCGTTTCTTTGACACTGAAGTTAAGCCAACAGGTTCAGTTTTTCCAGTAGTAGGGCAGTGTGGTAGCCTAGTGGTGAAAGCGTTCACTTGTCTCACTGAAGACCTAGGTTCGATTCCCCACATGGGTACAATGTGTGAAGCCCATTTCTGGTGTCCCCTGCTGTGATATTGCTGGAATATTGCTAAATGTGATGTAGACTATACTCACTCTTCCAGTATATCATCATATGAACATTGAACATAATTACAGACGAGCTTTGTCTTCTTGCTTCATGTAATTTGTATATAGCACCATCGCATCAATGACCAAAGATAGCCACAAAAATAGGTCAAGTTCAGCCAGGTCAAAGTTCGCGGTGGAGAGACGGGCATTCAGAATACCGACTACTGTTAAAGCAAAGTCATTTTAAACTTTTACAGTTCAGTTTCGAAATAACAAAAAGAATGCCCATTGAGCAATCTAAAAAATGCTTAGTTTTGAATTCTTTGTCATTGAATACTTATGTGTGACAGCCGGAGAAGGCAATGGGCATGCTGAGCTACATGGAAAAGACCTACTTTAATGGTAAACATGGCGCCGGGCAGGGCACGCCGGAGAAGCCAGAGAAGGGAAAGGACCACAAGGACAGCTCCGAGAATTCCGTGGAGGCGTGGAGACCTCGGATCAGTGTTGTGAGTTGATCTTTAAATCTTTCAGTCCAGAGCCCCGTTTCACAAAGCTCTCGTAAGCCTAAGATCTTGTAACTTTTCTCATAGCATTCGTGCCTCCTATACTGTAACATAGGAGGTACTAATGCTACGAGAAAAGTTACGAGATCTTAGGCTTACGAGAGCTTTGTGAAACGGGGCCAAGGCTTGATCGATGTTAACTTTTGGAATCACAGTAACAGAGGAGCTGGAATGTGCTTGAGAGGATTTTGGTTGAGAATCGGTCTCTGCAACCTGTGCTGTCGTAAGAAGTGACAGAATAGATCCGATGGTCAAGCTAAGTCATTTGTTTGTCTTATATTGTCTTGTATTGTTTGTTAGGAAATTGATAATTTACAGGCTGACATTCAGCTACTTCATTGTTTTATTCATGTGCTTTCCTAAATTCATGAATTTTTAATTGCTCTCAAGAATGAAATATTTTGTGCACTCAATCAGACCAAGTTCTTAGAAGCCTCGACATTGATGGGCTTATTTGAAAGGTCACCAGATGGGCAGAAGATGTCAGATTTTATGAAAATCATGATTTGACTTAATCATAACCTGCTTCCACTGTTTAGACTGAGCATTGTTTAGCAGGGTGTTTCGTCATCACACTGATGGCTTGTCTGATCTTGGATCAGGAAGTCTGTGGTTTAATTTGTCGCACAAATTTACACAATTCTGACTGGCCAAAATTTTCTGAAATCTTTATGTTTCAATGAATGCACAAAAAGTTGCATTCATGCTTCACTCAAACATATATTTGGCTTGCTTATATTTTTCCTTATCCTGACTCATGCTTATTGCTTGTCTTCTTCTTCTTGCGAACATAGTGGAACCGTGTATCTCCCAATTGAAGTTCCTTCAATTAAAAATCACTAATTAGTACTCACCACGAGTTACCTCCCTTCCACAAGCGGCGGCGAGAGCCACCTGAACCCATGTGCCTCACTCTCTCCTTCTTCGCCCAGTGAGCTGGACGTGAGAGCGCCTGTGTCTCCCAACACACTATATCCTTTATTTATATTTAGTTTAGTACCTCTTATATTCAGTTATAGAGGTGTAACTAGTATCCTTATTCAACTTGCATTGATTATTAGTCGTGTTTCTGCTGTTTTATTCACGGTTAGCGTGTTTGTTCAACAGTTTCGTTAATGAGAATCTGCACAGGTTGTAAACTTCGTTATTCGCTACCGATCCACATTTAAAATGCCCTAGTTGCATTACTCCATGTTCTATTGTTTCTCGTTGTAAATTATGTATTAATTTACCAATTTCTGCCTTTGATAAATATTTATGTTCCGTTTTGAGGGCGGAAGGCAGATAAATCTACATAAACAATCTTCAGTCATGGCTAATAGATCGGAAGCTATTATACCCTGTCAACTGTTGACTGGCGACCCGCCACCGGCTGGTGGCATGCGGAGTTTCCCTCGGGGGATAAGCGTGGGGCACAGTCCGCTATGTCCAAGAAGCGACCTGCATCTCAAGACATTCCGTCTTCACAGTCTAAGACTAGGAAGCGTCCACATCATCTCAGCGTGCGGCGAACCCCCAGGTCCACAGCCGTCAAAGGGAAATCTCACGAAAACTACAAATAATTTTGCCTCCGATATTCTACCTGTCTCAGAATTATGTTTATATGATGATGACATTCCGATTATCATTCAGATGTGCGTCATAAGAAGCGTCCAGTATCTGCTACCGTCACTACAGCGCAGATAAACACGCAACCAGAGATGCCTACGCTGGCGCCTGAGTTTTGATTGAGGGTCCCGTCACTTTCACAGAGAGGCCACCCTCAGCGCCAAGCGCAGACCGTCCCAGGCGACCTGGTTAACCAAATCATGAGACTGATGGAGGACCGTTACGGTTTACAGAGGCCCCAGCCGCGGGCCCCAGAGCCCAACCCTTAATAAGTCATACAGGGCCCCAGAGCCGCCTTGGCTTCAGCGTAGGACCCCAGAGCCCACAAAGCAGCGCTCTCGAAGGCAACCCAGCCCGTGGCGATCACTTCGCATAAAGGAAGTCCCAGGCGCCTCAGCGAAGAGCTAGAGCCTATCCAGTTGCGAGGGACATCGCGGCGGAGAAGGAGGCCGCCCGAGCCCACACCCTGTAGAACACAGAGGTGGATTCGCGAAGCAGCAAGCTAGCATATGTCGATTCGGACACTGACTTCGATACATTAGCGAAGGTCGCGAAGGCTAAGTGACTCCATATCTACCTCGCCCAGAAGATTTAGAAGAGCTTAGCGAAGTCCCCAGCGTTAGCCGAGGATGTCTCCTCAAGGTCTCCTTACACTAGCCACTTTCGTCAGTCCGTTCACCACAGTCCTCTCATAGATCTTCCTACAGATCTAGGACTCCGACATGTGACCCTACATCAGAGGAAGAAGGTATCATTTTCTCAGATGCTGAGATCAGATACTGGATGGTGAATGAGTTACAACTTGCTTCCCCATCGAAGAGCGAGAATTCAACTCAGACTTACCTGATGAAGGATGATGATGTAGACAATATCACCTTACCTCCTATTGATCCGATTGCAGCGGTACCAGCTAATTTGGATACAGCCTGTTCCAAATCTTCAAAGTCCAATCTACACATTTCCGGTCTTCAATGCCAAGAAATTTGCTGGACACAATATGGACCCTTTTCAAGGCCCAGGATATTGATGACAACTTTAAATTAATCAGCGATGCCAAGTCCAGAAGTTACAAAGTAGGCGATGCAAATTAAGCTCAACTAGATACCATCGCCAGGAGGATGTTCTTTGGATTGAATAGATCTAGAGCGATTAATGAAACTCTCATCACCAAGTTCAAGAATTCTACAGAGGAGGAAGATAGAATGATCTACTCAGCTCTACTCATGCAGAAAAGAGACCACCAATTTCTTACAGAGCACCTATCAGCTTACTGAAACTACTACCATGGCTCAAAGTCGGCAAGGCTTACTAGCCTCCTGCTCTTGGGATAAGCAATTTACAGAATCTCTATACACAGCTCCATGGTCATCAGCCCTTACTGTTTGGTGGCAACATAGACAAGGTCTCCAAAGAAGTATCTAAAGACTCAAGAGAGGTTCTTATGATCAGATCCATGGATACCTTAGCGAGCGTCATTAAACAGTCAACACAGAGATACTCGGGCAAGTCTAAGTTTTGGGGCTACAGAAAGCGCGGGACAAGAAATTAGCTGCAGCTAAAGATCCCAAGGATTCTTTTAAAGTAAGCCCATACAACAAATTTAGGGAGGATCAGCTAGAGGCAGATCATCCAGAGGTGCCGATGGATTTAGGCGATGAAATTCAGGTTCAGAGCGACTGGAGTCTTCCACCCCAGCCGTTCCAGTACAACCGTCTCAAGTGGGTGGGCGCCTTCAGCTACACTGGGAAAACTGGGGAATACTACAAGATCCATATGTATCCAACATCCTACAGCACGGATATCTAATACAACTCAAGGCCAAGCCTCCGTTAACAGTCAACCCCCAGGGTTCAAGCGTTCAACCGGCACAACTACCTATGTTAAGAGAAACAGTACTTACTCTACTAAACAAACAGGCCTTAGAAGTTCTGGATCAGCGAAACATCGTACCAGGTTTCTACTCCCCAGTTTTCCTAGTGCGAAGAAAAATTCCAAGGAGAAGTTTAGTCTCATATACAACATGAGCATCTTCAACAGAGAATATCTATGCAAACCTCCAGCGTTTAGCATGATACACTTACATAACCCGGCATTTAATTCGTCCCAAAGATTACATGGCCAGCATAGATTTGCAAGGCGCATATCTACACATCCGATTCATCCCAACTCAAGGAAATATCTAAGATTTATCCTAGGCGGAAACATTACCAATGGAAGGTTCTTCCCTTCGGAATCACATCGGCCCCTTGGGTATTCACAAGAGTGACCAAGCCTATTGTCTCATACCTACATCGTCAAGGTCTTATGGCGCTTTTACCTAGGCGGCCCGGTATACAAGTGGATCCAGATCCACAGCGTCTCAGACTACAGCTGAACTTTATAATCAAGCTACTAACACAATTAGGATGGTTAGTAAATCTACTCAAGTCGGACCTAGAACCAGCGCAAGATCTGCAATTTCTAGGTATCACGATTTCTAACAGCTCAGAATCGTATTGTAGTCCCGGAGGACAGATGGATCAAGATCAACAACTTATTCCTCAAGCCCTACTCTCTCCGTTACCACTCGACAGTGGCAGAGCCTATTGGGACTACTCACATCAGCTCAAGACTTGACAGTCAGAGGCAGGCTTCAATTACGTCCGTTACAAGTCCTCATCAATGCTCATCTCGAGGACCCTCTACCATTCAGTCTACCAGATTATGTCAAACCACATCTACTCTGGTGGACCAAGAGATTGAATGTTTGCTTGGCGTCTCCTTAGTAGAGCCGGAATCGAACACACATCTCTACGTAGACGCGTCACTACAAGGTTGGGGAGCCCACCTTGCTGGCAGGACAGCGTCAGGCCTATGGAGCAATCAAGAGAGCAAATGTCACATAAATCTGCTAGAGATGCAAGCAGTCATAAACGCCATAAGTCACTGGAGCAACATACTACAGAACGCTCAGTTGATGGTTCACACAGACAATTCAACAGTGGCGTTTTATGTGAACAAACAAGGTTCAACAAGGTCACAGAACCTACTGACTCGATGTTTCAGACTGTTCGATTTAATCGACAATCTAAACATACCGTCAGAGCTTGCCACATTCAGGAGCAAAGAATGTATTAGCAGGCGGCTCTCTCGGCCACACCAACCGTCGCCCGACAGAATGGATGCTCCACACAGAGATATTCAATCAAATAATCATGGAAATAGGATCTCCACTGATAGACCTATTAAGCCACTCGATTCAACAAGCAACTGACAACATTACGTGTATCAGCCAGTGCCAGACCCACTAGCATGGGCAGCGGACGCTCTAAGCATATCGTGGGAGAGACTCAGCGGCGTGCGGCTTTCCGCCTCCAGCGTTGATCCCACAAGTCTTACAGAAAATCAGTCAAGCGCAGAGCCTCCATCTGATTTTAGTCGCCCTACTGGCCAGCAAGAACTTGGTTTCCAGATCTCATTCAAGTAATGGGAAAACTTATTCTTCAGCTCCCACTGCAGCGCCAATCTATTGATACATCCGCACACCAAACAAGTGCGAAACACCAGAAGCATTCCAACTTCATGTATGGATTGTATCAAGGCATGTCTGAATAAGAGAGGTTATTCTGCCAGGCGGCTAAAGCGGTCAGCTTGCACTACGTAACTCAACTTCGTGGCAATGCGATGACAAATGGCACAGTTTTGTCAATTCGCTGCTAAGAAAGGATTTACAGCCAGATATGCTACACATCCTCAAGTGGCAGATTTCTTATGTTATCTGACGGCAAACTAAGAATCTAAAAGGCTCAACCTTGTCCACTTATCTTGCAGCCATAAGTTCTGTCATAACTATGCGAGCGGCGTCAAGTTAACAAAAACACCAGAGTTACTCGGCTTTGTTCTGGCGTTCGATTGGAGGATCAGAAGCGGAAGTTTCACTCTCCAGCCTGGGATCTAAATATAGTGCTCCAACACCTCACTAGTGAGGCTTATGAACCATTGCTATCTACATCGTTTGAATCATTGACCCACAAAACCTTATTCCTGTTAGCACTAGCTCACGGACGCCAGGAGGTCAGAGATTCCGCTTTGGATTAAGAGAGAACGCTTTGATGATATTCATAACATCGGCTCATCTGTGACTTAAGCTGGGATTTTATAGCGAAAAACCAACTGCCAGGTCAACCAGACAGATTATTCCCGTCCCAGCTCTCTCATCCATGCTTGGACGCATGATCACGATGGATCTATCACTATGCCCAGTGAGGGCACTGAAAATATATCTCCAACGATCAAAAAGAGCAGAGGGAAATTCAAGAGATTATTTATCCCTATATCTACAGCTACGCAGAGCGGAAGTCTCACATTACTCACGATCTCTATCTGGATCAGAACTGTTATACTACGTGCCTACAAGGCTGCAGGACTCGACCCTCCAAGAGCTTCTAATCCTCACGAAATTAGGCTAGCCTCAAGTCTCGCTCTACATGGGAATTGCTTTCGTTGAATACCATAATGGAGGGATGTTTCTGGAGATCCGATATGGTGTTTGCCAACCACTATCTGAGAGATATCACCACCGAGGGGCGTCTCAGGTATCCACCATTTCGGTCCCATGGTCCTCACTCAACAGTTGACAGTTCCACGGAGAAGATAAGTCTATCTTACAGATTTTATACTTATCTGATAACAGTACTAATAGCTACATGCTATCTATATATTTTGCTGCAGTTTAATTTATTATCTTAAGCTCAGTACTTTGGTTTTTATATCATACTATATATAAGCTTACAACTCCTAGGAGTTTTGCTACTATATATATATGTTCAGCTTAAGTTTCATCAATCCTTAAGCTCAGTCATATGGTCATATGCATAAATGTATTAGCTAACAAACTCTAAGGAGTTGGTTACTATTATACAGCTTAAGTTATAATTATATCTTAAGCACAGTACTATACTATTATAGCTTAAATATATGCATATCTTAAGCTTAATACTTTGGTTAATTTATAAAAGTATTCACTATAAACTCACAGAAGTTTATATTATCACATTAATAGCTTCAGCTTACATTAATGTTGTTTATACTTTTATCATATTCTATAAATTGTAATAACCTTTATGTGGCAGCTGATAAGTTAAACAGCAGGAATTCATCAGTTCAGTGCCTTTATGAAGTTCCCATAGGGTTATTACAATCATCACAGTTCAAATCACTAATTATTAAAATCCAAAGTATATATATTCCCACTTCCTTTTCCGTCGGATTCTACAAGCAATAAGCATGAGTCAGGATAAGGGAAAATATGAAATTTTTAGAGTAAAATTAATATTTTATACTTATCCTGACTCATGAGGTAAGCCCTCCCGTCCTCCCCACTTAACACTTTGGATTTCTTCGGAAAAATAAAGTGTCGGGCTCAAAACAAAAGGAGAGAGTGAGGCACATGGGTTCAGGTGGCGCCCTCGTTCCCGAGCTTGTGGAAGGGAGGTAACTCGTGGTGAGTACTAATTAGTGATTTTTTAATTGAAGGGAACTTCAATTGGGAGATACACGTGTTCCACTATGTTTGCAAGAAGAAGACAAGCAATAAGCATGAGTCAGGATAAGTATAAAATATTAATTTTACTCTAAAAATTTCATTTTTATAAAAAAAGAAGTACAATAAAGATTTTAAACATTTTCATGGTATAGGTCCGTCTCCTATTCTTGCGGGTTTCCTATTCTCGCGGTAAATACGTTTTCTGACGAAATCGTCGGTGCGTGACACTTAGCGGTTGTTTACATCATTGACTGGTAACTAGGAAGTGGACCAAGTCGGTGAATGATCAAAATCTTGCAGTGTCACGAATATTGGGGAGTTTATACCAACTTGGACATATCATTACTTTTTCTCGCCCTTTCAGACAGGATTGCTCTTACATACACTCAATAACGTTAATTCTTGGTAATACCGCGAGAATGGGAGAAGCCTCGTTTCGTCAATGGCGGATGGCATTGTTTATCACCGGGCTCAGGAGTGGTAATTCACCTGATGGATCTGGCAGCTGATAGATGCAGATGTTAGAGGAGAAGGCCCTTCATTTAATAACAACAAACATTCATACGATAAGAATTGTTTGTGTTATTTTTTCAGCCGATATCCGTAAGTGCCGCGAGAATAGGAAACTCTTTCCTACTTTGTGGTACAAGTCACAAAGGTATTGGAGACGGTGGGTTAGTCATGTTGTTAAAGCATCACTCGTCACGCCGAAGACCCAGGTTCGATTCCCCACATGGGTACAATGTGTAATGCTCATATCTCGTATCCCCTGCTGTGATGTTGCTGGAGTATTGCAAAAGCGGCATATAACTAAACTCACTCAGTCACAAAAGTATTTATGAGCTCTTCACTGATATGTTCACAGTACAAGATTCGCTGTCTGATCATGCTCAAGTCCATGAAGATGTGCAAGAGGGAACTCAAGTCTTTACTCAACACACAAACAATGGTGAGGCAGTTGGACACGTCGCAGGTCAACAACGTAGTATCAATTTTATACAGCCTTTGAAATTCATGCTTGCCCACGAGCCTGAGGCTCCTTAATTGTGCTAAGGACAAGTAAAATTCCTGTGATAGTTGACCTCACTGACCAGTAGCGCTTCAGGGCTAAAATGTATTGTGTAATATGGGATTTGATTTGTTATGTGTTCATCCACAGTTATTTATATGATGTGGCTAGAATAATGATAGCAGGGCTGTGGGGTAGCCTAGTGGTTAAAGCGTTGGCTCGTCACGCCGAAGACACGGGTTCAAATCCCAGCATGGGTACAATGTGTGAAGCCCATTTCTGGTGTCCCCCGCCGTGATGTTGCTGGAATATTGCTAAAAGCCGCATAAAACCAAACTCAGTCAGTCATAATGATAGCATGCATAAAACAACTCGCTCAGTCACTCAATCGTATTAAAAACCAATAGTGTCTTATCATATTTATTGCCAAACATCACGTGTTGCATCAATCTCATAAATCAGGTCTTGGTTGAACCTGGCAACTTTCATTGCATTTACTCACTCCACAATTGTTTTCAGAGCACCTCTGTGATATACTTGAAGAGTAACTTTGAGTATCTGCGAGGGAATCTGCGGAAGGCTATCCGGATGCTGGGCTCGGACCCCCAGGCTCAGGTCTTTACTAACACGGGGGAGAGCCTCCCGATGATGTACTTCAACAACCTGGGATGTATTCACTTCCACCTCCGCAAACATCACCTCGGGGCCTTCTACTTGCGCAGAGCTGTACAGGAGAATGAGAACGCTCTGAAAGATGCTGCAGCAGGAGGCCAAAGTAGGTGGAAGAACACTGTGTTGTGTGGTGGGATGTTGTGTGGAGATTTACCTGGGTGTTACTTCAGCATGTTTCATTTAGGTTACAGTTATTCTGTCTCTCTGGTTTGAATATTTCTTGATGAAACTTGCTTTGCAGTTTACCGTGGTGGTAGGGTTAGGTGGTTTACTGTTGTCCTTGGATGTTCGGAGATGTTTCTGTATTTTGGTTTGGTTTGGTTTTTATACCTAGTGATAAGTTGGACTAAAACTTAACGTGAGAGTTGTGCTTATTTCCTGAACAAATCTCCCCAAACTGAACTTAAACTGACCTGTATGTTTCTACTTGGGATCGTGGCGGTGGGGTAGCCGTTTGGATAAATATTTCGGTCGTCACGCTGAAGACTCAGGTTCGATTCCCCACATTGGTACAATGTGTGAAACCTATTTCTGGTGTCCCCCGCTGTGATATTGCTGGAATATTGCTAAAAGTGGCGTAAAACCAAACTCACTCACTCACTCTACTTGGGATCTATCATGCTTTGTTCAGTGAAGTATCAGATGTTCGTGTTTTATGTTTGATCCTCGATATTTCTGCAGAGACTGTGAGTAGTGTGAGTGAGGTAGTGTGCCATGACGCAATTTAGCCAGAACCTGATGATCTCACTGTAACATAAATATTAGCTTGGGGGCTTCATAGTGTAAGACACCATTTCTTTGTGCAGAGTTCCTTATAGGTGTAAGGATCTTATGACCCTGGGTTCAAATCCCAGCTTCCTTCTGGAACGGAATCGTGGTTACAAGAGTAGTCACCACCAAACACATTTTCCCTTATATGGATTTCATGTTAGAGCACCGACAAGTCAATGCTGGTCATAAGGGGTGACCATATGAATAGGGTGGTCTGAGTTGATGACTTGGTTCTCATATTGTACAGTGAGTGAGTTTAGTTTTATGCCGCACTCAGCAATATTCCAGCTACATGGCAGCAGTCTGTACATAATCGAGTCTGGACCAGACAATCCAGTGATCAACAGCATGATCATCGATCTGCGCAATTGGGAACTGATGACATGTGTCAACCAAGCCAGCGAGCCTGACCACCCGATCCCGTTAGTCACCTCTTACGACAAGCATGGGTTACTGTAGGTTCATTCTAACCCGGACTTGTACATGGGACGATGGGGTAGCCTAGTGGTTGAAGCATTCACTCAAACCCGAAGACCCGGGATCGATTCCCCACATGGGTACAATGTGTGAAGCCCATTTTGGGTAAACTAAACTCACTCACACTCCATATTATACAACATGGATTATTGCTGTCTATCATTTCTAGTCCAGGATCAATTATGTACAGATTGCCATTATATAGCTGGAGTATGGCATTAGGCTTTAAACAAACAAGACCTTTTCTGTAATGTAATACATGTCCTTAGTGATGAAATACTGTTTAAAGTTCTTAATTGCAACCTTGACTAACGGGATCGGGTGGTCAGGCTCGCTGACTTGGTTGACACATGTCATCGAATCCCAATTCTGCAGATCGATGCTCATGCTGTTGATCACTGGATTGTCTGGTCCAGACTCGATTATTTACAGACCGCCGCCATATAGCTGGAATATTACTGAGTGCCGCGTAAAACTTGACTCTTAATTGCAACAGCTTTTTGTCAGAGAGATCATCCTACTTACCTCCCCTTGTTCCCAGATCGCCCGCTACATACACGTGGCATGAGTCGACACTATGAACTGCTGTACAACATGGGTATTCAACTGCTCCACTGCGGACGGCCACAGGCGGCCTTCGATTGTCTCATAGAGGCAGTACAGGTGTACCAGGTGAACCCTCGACTGTGGCTGAGGTTAGCGGAGTGTTGCATACAGGCGAACAGAGAGGTGAGTCAAAGGCTGGAGGAACAGGCCGGGGACACTAACTGAACCGTGATCCTTCTGTTTTGAGTAAAGAGAATATGGGCTAAATCTGATGTACCCATTGTTTGGGGAGTGTTGGAGGATGTAGAACTCCAGTTCACACTTCTATTGTTAATTATTGCTTATTTGGCTTTAAACACAAAGGGCATTCATGCTATCAACCACCAGTTTGGATGACCCAGGCTTTGTGTCTGGCTGTGAAATAAAATGCTCTCACTCACCCAGTATTAGATAAAAGATAACGAGTCTTTTCAAAACAATTTCAGAACAATGACGAGGACCGTAGTTTAGAGAAGCGACTGGAGGTTATCCAAGGCTCAGTTGGGAGTGGAGTACACAGAAAACTAATCCTTGGATGTGGCGTCGGCAAGTTCAAACCCAGGTAGATGTAGTGGTGAACTGACATGATGCAGCGGGATGATACGCATCTCGATAATATGGGTGTGAGATGGTTTGTATTCCGATACAGTATTTCCTAACCTCTTATTGTGATACAATACATCATTAGCATATCATTACACCAAATGCGAGAAGTTTATTATCCCCCCGGCATATAATGTGGGGTGGGAGGGAGGGATATAGTCAACTCGTCTGTCTGTCCTTTCCGTCCGTAATCCTTTCATATCTGGAGCATAACTAACAAAACGTTTTTTCAACAAAATTTTATATATATATATATCAAACAGAACCTAATGTGGTGCTTTTTTGTTTTGCGGTTTTTTATACTTTGTATTTTTTCCGTTGCCTTTGATATTGGTGTGTACCTGACACAGAAGTTCAAAGTTACAAATCACAATTCCATGTCACTGTTTTGATAGCGTAATAACTACTCTTGTATACAGGCGGCCAGATTAGACAGAACTTCACTCATAAAGTTGGACTTTAAGTAACTGTCAGATGATGTGTTCTTTCCAATTTGTGGGGGTCAGGGGATTTGTCATATTTTGATGACTCTTGTATTTATAGGCCATCTACCTACGGCTGCATTAAATGTTAGGGAAAAATGTTAGTGTGTTTCTGTCTGGTCAAGGTTATCCTTTAGGCTATTATAAAATCTAATCTAATTGTATTAATCATTGGCAGTTTCTCATTGACTTTCACCCGTGAACTATCTGAGACTGGTAATTATTGAAGGGTAGACTTACTTATACCGGTACCACTTAACGTATTTTCTGGGCATGATCGGCAAGGAAGTCTAAGGTTAGGGTTATCAGGGTCAGGGTTATCAGGTTAGGGTTATCAGGGTTATCATGGTTATCAGGTTAGGTTATCAGGGTCAGGGTTATCAGGTCAGGGTTATCAGGTTAGGTTATCAGGGTCAGGGTTATCAGGTTAGGTTATCAGGGTCAGGGTTATCAGGTTATGTTGTTAGGGTTATCAAGGTTAGGTTGCTAGGGTTATCAGAGTTAGGGTTATCAGGGTTAGGGTTATCAGGTTAGGGTTATCAGAGTTAGGGTTATCAGGTTAGGTTATCAGGGTCAGGGTTATCAGGTTAGGGTTATCAGGGTCAGGGTTATCAGGTTAGGGTTATCAGGTTAGGGTTATCAGGGTTAGGGTTATCAGGTTAGGGTTATCAGGGTTAGGGTTATCAGGTTAGGGTTATCAGGTTAGGGTTATCAGAGTTAGGGTTATCAGGTTAGGGTTATCAGGGTTAGGGTCAGGGTATCAGGGTTAGGGTTATCAGAGTTCAGGTTAGGGTTATCAGGTTAGGGTTATCAGGGTCAGGGTTATCAGGTTAGGGTTAGGGTTATCAGGTTAGGTTATCAGGTTAGGGTTATCAGGGTCAGGGTTATCAGGTTAGGGTTATCAGAGTTAGGGTTATCAGAGTTAGGGTTATCAGGTTAGGTTATCAGGGTCAGGGTTATCAGGTTAGGGTTATCAGGGTTAGGGTTATCAGGGTCAGGGTTATAGGGTCAGGAGTTATCGGGGTTAGGGTTATCAGGGTCAGGGTTATCAGGTTAGGTTATCAGGGTCAGGGTTATCAGGTTAGGGTTATCAGGGTTAGGGTTAGACTCCTATATACAACAACCGGAAGTAGCTAAACCAATGGTACTGATATAAGTAAAGTGCTCCTTATTCAATCTGAAGGTAAAGGTCAGGAACATGTCAACTGGAACTAATTATGGGTTTCAGGAGCTTTGGCTATGGCAGGACCTGTAAATGCCTTGTGAATTCATATGGTATCCATTTCATCAAGCCAAATGCAGCATTTTTTTTCTTTTTAATTTTTCATGCACTGCTAAAATCTTTTGCAAGAACCATTCCCATTTCTTGGTTTTTGACCAGTCAGATTACAGAACACACTCTCATTCATTTTACAGTTCAACCACACCCTCCATGCCGTCAGCCACTCTGGAGTTCGCCTCACTGTGTCTGCGGAACGCTATGCTTCTGCTGCCAGAAGACCCACTGTTGGCAGACAAGGCCACGCCGTCCTCCGACGACCATGAAGGAAGGTGAGGAAAACGATTGAGTCAGTAGGTGGTGTAGTGGTTAGAGTGTCTGCCCTGAGAGATTAAGGTGGTTTGATCCAATAGATGTTAAAAGATGGTACTTTATGTTACCCTGCCTGTCACTCGAACATAAGGGAATAACCCTAGGACTGGATACCCGTGAAGATCCGGGTTAGAATTGGTCTTCAGTAACCATGCTAGTCATAAGGCCACTAATGGGAAATGGGGGTGAGGATTGCTGACTTGGTTGACACATGTCATCGGATCCCAATTGCATAGAACAAGGATCATGATGTTGATGACTGGATTGTTTTGTGCAGACTCAATTATTTACAAACCGCTGCCATATATCATAGCTGAGTGCAGCAATAAACAACCAACCATTAAGACTGGCGGACTCAGTCCATGAGTCAGTCTGTGGAATATGTTGGGTTTTTTTATCCACGTTAAACTGCTAGGTCCTATGGAACGACAAATGATTAAATAACTCAAAATTGGGATAAGTGCACAAACATGAATAAGACATGTGGTCCTGCAACTCTGTACCCAACAGGATCTGAAATCTGACTTTTTATGATCGATCGCGGAAAAAGTTGTTTAAGAAACTATCATGTAAAATTGTGCTATTTTCCACTTCACACCGGGGGTGACAAACGGCTGATGGAACAGCGATACCTTAACATAGACTTAAAGTAATCTTAGCACTAAGGTGACCATAACTCCCAGACCGTAACATAGACTTAAGGTAATCTTAGCACTAAGGTGACCATAACTCCCATACCTTAACATAGACTTAAAGTAATCTTAGCACTAAGGTGACCGTAACTCCCATACCTTAACATAGACTTAAAGTAATCTTAGCACTAAGGTGACCGTAACTCCCATACCGTAACATAGACTTAAAGTAATCTTAGCACTAAGGTGACCGTAACTCCCATACCTTAACATAGACTTAAAGTAATCTTAGCACTAAGGTGACCGTAACTCCCATACCTTAACATAGACTTAAAGTAATCTTAGCACTAAGGTGACCGTAACTCCCATACCTTAACATAGACTTAAAGTAATCTTAGCACTAAGGTGACCGTAACTCCCATACCTTAACATAGACTTAAAGTAATCTTAGCACTAAGGTGACCGTAACTCCCATACCTTAACATAGACTTAAAGTAATCTTAGCACTAAGGTGACCGTGAACTCCCATACCTTAACATAGACTTAAAGTAATCTTAGCACTAAGTTGACCGTAACTCCTTAACATAGACTTAAAGTAATCTTAGCACTAAGTTGACCGTAACTCCTTAACATAGACTTAAAGTAATCTTAGCACTAAGGTGACCGTAACTCCCATACCTTAACATAGACTTAAAGTAATCTTAGCACTAAGGTGACCGTAACTCCCATACCATAACATAGACTTAAAGTAATCTTAGCACTAAGGTGACCGTAACTCCCATACCTTAACATAGACTTAAAGTAATCTTAGCACTAAGGTGACCGTAACTCCCATACCATAACATAGACTTAAAGTAATCTTAGCACTAAGGTGACCGTAACTCCCATCCTTAACATAGACTTAAAGTAGCCTTAGTGCTGAGGTTGTTTTGTACAACAGCACCCTGGACATTGTATACTCAAGCTGGTATGATAGAGCTGAGTACTGATGACAGGTCAGTGGAATCTATTGCCAAAAATGTGCTGAAAAACTGCATCAAGCAACCCGTGAAGATCCGGGTTAGAATTAATCTTCAGTAACCCATGCTTGTCATAAAAGGCGACTAACAGGATCGGATGGTCAGGCTTGCTGATTTGGTTGACACATGTCATCATATCCCAATTGCGTACATCGATACTAATGCTGTTTATCACTGGATTTGTCTGATCCAGAATCGATTACTTACAGACCGCCGCCATATAGCGGGAATATTGCTGAGTGGGGAGTAAACCTAAACTCACTCACTACATCAAACATCACTTTCTCGCATGCCTGAAGTACGATTCAATGCTGCATTAAACCTGACTCACTCACCCACACTTTACTCTGCAGACCCACCCCAGAACCAGTCTTGATGTCAGCCCCTCCTGGCAACCCGATGAAAGCTACAGAAATCGCTCACCTTCGCTGCTCCATCCTTGCAGCATCCGCGTACACCTGTCTATGTCTCAACGATCACCTCATGGCCCTTCATCATGCAGAGAACCTCCTAAAACAGCCACATCTCTCGGGCGCTCAGAGGTATGGAGTCATCCAGAGATAACTACCAGTCCGATGTAATCATTTCCATATTTTGCTCCAGATTTGGACAGTGCCATATAGGGATAATTGTTTACTTATTTGTGTTATTTCAACTAGTTGTTAGCTTCCCTTGTGAAATAGAACTGCTTTTATATTTTGGGAGAATTTGAACACTTATGCTTCCAAGTGTGATTTGACTATCACACATCATTCTTCCATGGTCTTCATCCAGATGGTCCTTCCAGATGGGCCTTTTGGTACATGTTATGCGAAGGTCAAAGGTCAAATGTCATGGTCAAAGGTCATGGTCATGGTCATGGTCATGGTCATGAGATAAAAATAAGTTACCCAAACATTTTTGGCTACACTATCTTAAGTATTAATGAAATTAACATTGAACTTCTCTTGAATTTTGAAAAGATTTTCATCAAGGTTAGACAATGTTCAAGGTCAACATTCAGCTTTTTCATAAGACATAATTATGTCATTGTAAGTTTCTAAGGTTATGTTTGCTTGTCTGTGTTGTCATTTTCAACAGTTTTCTACACAATTTCAATGTGCCAGCATTTCTTAGCATACTTAACACTTACTTGAATACATGTATATGTGATGCATGAGACGGAAAATGGGCGAACTGGGATCACAGAAAGCTCTAAACAGCAGTTTTCATGTTTTCTTGAACATCTGCAGGATGTTGTCAGAATACACCCTGAGCTTCCTTTACATCATGGCGTCCACTGCCATGATATTGTTGAAATATTGCTAAAAGCCGCGTAAAACTAAACTCACTCACTCACTCACACCAGCGATATACTTCCCATGGTCAATGTCATGTCATACTTACTCCATAATTTGTGTGAGTGAGGTAGCCTTGAGGTTTAAGTGTTCGCTCATCACGCCTAAGATCCACGGTCTACTCCCCACATGGGGACAATGGGTGAAGCCAATATGTCTGCCCACCATCCTCTTGCTAGGATGTTATAAAAGTCAGCATAAAGTCATACTGACTCGCCTTACCACAATTAGCTTATTTGAAAGGATTCCTTACAAGTTGAGGGACAACACAAATTCGTTTGGTCAAGAATCTACATGTATACATCACTACAGAAATACTCTTACCTTATCGCACGGAAAGATTTTTCCTGATGATCCATGTCAGGTGAAACTTATTTCCATGTTTTGTAGTAGAAACTGGATTCTCTCCCTTTATAGGCTTTGTGAGATACATGCATTGGTTACCTTTTACAAGGGAGATAACTCATGTCAGTTTCAGACAATCCTATTGATTTTTCTTGACTAGCATTGTGGTTGTCCTAGCAAGGAAGGGCTTCTTCTCGCCATGGTTTCAGACATCACACATTATGATACTGAGTTGTGTCCCTTCAACAGTGCCAGAAACGTATGTGTTTGATTGTGCTGGTTTCACCAGAGTGGTGGCTTGTATCACCTCCCACATCACTCGGACATGCGGTGGGGTAGCCTAGTGGTTAAAGTGTTCATTCATCATGCAGAAGGCCCAGGTTCGATTCCCCACATGGGTACGAAGTGTGAAGGCTATTTCTGGTGTCCAACGCCGTGAAATTGTTGGAATATTGCTATAAGCGGCGTAAAACCCAACTCACTCACTCACCATTTTTCTGTTTTGTTTCAATTGGAATTGAAAAACATAGCAGAAAAAGTAAACATTGTAAACAGTATGTCCAGGTGTACGGGAATGTTGTGTAACTGATGCCCGGCCTTGCTTCAGGTACATTGGTCACCTCTATGTAGCCGAGGCTCAGGTACAGCTGGACAAAATACCCGACTCTATCGGACATCTGAATCCTGACCTGGTCACAGACATAGGGACATGTCCGCCGGAACACAAGTCTGAACAGGGTAAGAGACCAGTTGAGCTTTTACAGAACATTACAAGTTAGCAAGTAGAGGGTTGGTGGAGTAGCCTAGTGGTAAGACTACCTAATTCACTCCTCACGTCAAAGACCCGGTGTAGCAGGCCATTTCTTCCCCGGTCTAAACTTTCCCAGGGAGAATCTGGCCTAGGCCAAACTTTCCCTGGGGAGGTTTTGTCCTAGGATATTCCCCTCCCTAGGCCAAACTTTCCCCCCTGTTTAAACTAGGATATTTTGTTCTGTTTTCTATGAAAAGTGGGGAGATTCTGGCCTAACTAGGCCACTTCTTCCCAACCCTTGCTCTTATAAACCGTCAGTAGGTTTGACTTATATTTGGTACACATTTTTGCTAAATAGTCCATTTTTGCCTCTGACTTGGGTGTAGTGATTTGAATGCATACATGTCTGAACGGCATACATCTCTAAATCTATCCTGCTCCAGCCGCCATTCCTATGAAGACACATTGCATTAGTTCTTCATCTGTCCACTATAAGATGTAAACATTCAGTCGCACATTTGATGGGTAAATAAGATGTAATATACACAGGTTGCTTGCTCTCTTATCATGCTGTTTATTATCTAATATTTGTTGTATTTATGTATAAATGTAATGGAACATTATTCACATAAGCTTGTTTACTAATCAATAATCACTTTGGGTGAATGAAATATGATTCAGATATCCATGGGCCAAGTATACACCTTATCAAACCTTGTCTTTTGAATATAGAATACGGCAATAAAGTGGAATGATAGATGATACAGCATTTGATACAGATATTGTGTTGGGTTGTTGTTGTGTTGATGTTTACATCTGCTTCCAACTGTTAAGTTGATGTCTCCGACATAGATGCCATATTTAAAGCCATGAGTGAGGGAATAAAATTTTAATGGATATGGACATCCAAATAAAAACTGGGTATTTAGTTAAAGTTTCGAATATAGTAATGATTTTGACATAAGCCAATTTTGAGTAAGTGGGAATAAGTAAATTATCAAAATATAAAAATAAGTAAATGATAAAATAAAACAATATAGTAATGATATAATATCTTTGCTTTTATGCTTGCTTTTCTTTTTAATCTCACCTTATAGAAGGGCATTGAAACAAAATGGGAACCATGTACATGTTATATATGAAGACGAAGATGACCTGTAAATTGTTAATGGAACTTGACATCAACATGAATATCTTATCAATGTGTTCACGTGAATATGTCTTGTTTTCGTTTCTGACATTTTCAAGACAAACATAAACATGAAAACAAGGTTGGGGAAGAAATAGCCTAGCTAGGCCAGAATCTCCCCCTTTTGATATGAGAACAAGGATGGTAAACACCCTCAAGGGTGGAGAAAGTTTGGCCTAGGACAAACTTTCCCCAGGGAAGATTAAGCCTAGGGGCGGAAAGTTTGGTCATGGCTGAGGTTTGGCCAGGAGAAAGTTTGGCCTGTCAATTCCCCACATGGGTACAATGTGTGGAGCCCATTTCTGGTGTCCCCAGCCGTGATATTTCATAAAGTCATATTCTCTCCCTTTTGCAGGTAATCACAACCCTAAATCATTTGTTTATAAATCTGGGACAGTTAACATTGGATATTGTAGGGGAGAAATATATTAGCTTAGGGCACTGTGAAAATTCTGCTATTCATAGCCAGCCAGGAAACGTTAGGGTATCTGCATCAACTGGTTCTTGAACATATACTGTTATCATGCATTTGTTTCCATCACTTCGAGTGTGACCTCCATTATTTCACAACTTCAGTGAGCTACACCCGTGAAGGTCCGGGTTAGAATGAACCTTCAGTAACCCATGCTTGTCGTAAGTGGCAACTAACGGGACCGGGTGGCCAGGCTCGCTGGCTTGGTTGACATGTGTCATCGGTTCCCAATTGTGCAGATCGATGCTCATGCCGTTGATCACTGGATTGTCTGGTCCAGATTCCATTGTTTACAAAACGCCTCCATATAGCTAGAATATTGCTGAGTGCGGCGTAAAACTTAAACTCACACACTCACTCACTCACTCACTCACTCACTCACTCACTCACTCACTCACTCACTCACTCACTCACTCACCCAGTGAGCTACAGAACCTTGTGGCTGTATTTTGGGGTCACATCCAGTGCTGCAGCCAGACTGCGTAATTGTGAGATTCTACTTACCCTGGCACTCTATGCACCAACAGTTATGCAGATTTATAATTTATACATTTTTTATATACAGTCACGTACTTAATTTCAAAATACCACCATTTTCATTTAAAGCATCAAACATTCAGAAATCAAAATTAAAATATTGAACCTTCGGGAATTCAAAATGAGGCTTCCTCAGCTCTGCACATATCTAGTACATCTGACTGATCCGGGTTAGAATTGATCTTCAGTAACCCATGCTTGTCGTAAGAGGCGACTAACGGGATTGGGTGGTCAGGCTCACTGACTTGGTTGACACATGTCATCGTATCCCAACTGCGCAGATCAATGCTCATGCTATTGATCACTGGTCCAGACTCGACTATTTACAGACCGCCTCCATATAGCTGGAATATAACTGGCGTAAAACTAAACTCTCTCGCTCACTCACTGCTAGTACGTCCATTTGCATACGAAACTGCAATATGAATCACTGTAGGGATCTCTTTTCGCTGTACGGAGCTCAACTTCATCTACGGAGTTTATCATCGAATACTTGTGGCTGTCAAAATGTCAGAGAGAAGGATTACACTTCTGGTTATTGGCCGACATTTTCTAAAGGTAGGGGTCAAGTGGACCCTTCCAAGGAAACCCTGGCTGCAGCACTGCATATGTGATTTTTGCAAAGGATCGTTCCACCCCAAATATCAGTAGATCCACAACTGTGATGTCCTTTGTTGCAGAGAAAACTGATAAAAATGACAAAGGAGAGAAGGACCTACTAGCAGACAGCACAGAAGCCAAAAGTAGGTGTTTGGTCACAGTTTGGGAAAGAAGTGTCCGGATTTGAGATATAGCTTGTGTCTGGATTGGTGATACAAATTGTGTCACGGTTTGGTTGGGGACTAGTGTAAAGCTTTAGGATTGGACACATTGTGTCAGTGATGGAATACAATAAGTGCCATTGTTTGAGAGACAGAACCATCACGCTATGGGAGGGAACTTTTGTCAAGCTTTGGGAGAGACGTTGTGTCAGGAATGTACTAAACTTCTGTCAACGTTTGAGAGATTTAAGTCATGGTTTGGGAGCGAAGTAGTGTCAGGCTTTGGGCGAGACATTGTGTCAGGGTTGGGGTAGAACATGTGCCTGGGTTTGAGAAATAATCTGTGTCGGGCTCTGGGAGGGAACTTCCGGGCCCGATGTTGGTGGAGATGTAAACAACCCATATCCTGCTGAGGAACAGTTGAATAATGCCATTTGTTTATGTCGTAGGCTCACTGTATCCCTGGTTTCCAAAGGATTTGTCTCGTGCCAAAGCAGTGATGCAGTACAACTTAGCAGCCGCTCATGCGATGAGAGGGGAGTATGACAAGGCCATGACACATCTCACTGAGGTAGGTGCATCTGTCAGCAGCTCATGACACATCTCACTCAGGTAGGTGCATCTCTCAGCAGCTCATGACACATCTCACTCAGGTAGGTGCATCTGTCAGCAGCTCATGACACATCTCACTCAGGTAGGTGCATCTGTCAGCAGCTCATGACACATCTCACTGAGGTAGGTGCACCTGTCAGCAGCTCATGACACATCTAACTGAGGTAGGTGCATCTGCCAGCAGCTCATGACACATCTCACTCAGGTAGGTGCATCTGTCAGCAGCTCATGACACATCTCACTCAGGTAGGTGCATCTGTCAGCAGCTCATGACACATCTCACTCAGGTAGGTGCATCTCTCAGCAGCTCATGACACATCTCACTGAGGTAGGTGCATCTGTCAGCAGCTCATGACACATCTCACTGAGGTAAGTGCACCTGTCAGCAGCTCATGACACATCTAACTGAGGTAGGTGCATCTGCCAGCAGCTCATGACACATCTCACTCAGGTAGGTGCATCTCTCAGCAGCTCATGACACATCTCACTCAGGTAAGTGTACCTGTCAGCAGCTCATGACACATCTCACTGAGGTAGGTGCACCTGTGCAGCTCTGACACATCTCACTCAGCAGCTCATGACACATCTCACTGAGCAAAGAGCATCTGTCAGCAGCTCATGACACATCTCACTTAGGTAGGTCTCAGCAGCTCACGACATCTCACTGAGGTAGGTGCATCTGTCAGCAGCTCATGACACATCTCACTGAGGTAAGTGCATCTCTCAGCAGCTCATGACACATCTCACTGAGGTAGGTGCATCTGTCAGCAGCTCATGACACATCTAACTGAGGTAGGTGCATCTGCCAGCAGCTCATGACACATCTCACTCAGGTAGGTGCATCTCTCAGCAGCTCATGACACATCTCACTGAGGTAAGTGTACCTGTCAGCAGCTCATGACACATCTCACTGAGGTAGGTGCACCTGCCAGCAGCTCATGACACATCTCACTGAGGTAGGTGCATCTGTCGTCAGCTCATGACACATCTCACTGAGCAAAGAGCATCTGTCAGCAGCTCATGACACATCTCACTCAGGTAGGTCTCAGCAGCTCACGACATCTCACTGAGGTAGGTGCATCTGTCAGCAGCTCATGACACATCTCACTGAGGTAAGTGCATCTCTCAGCAGCTCATGACACATCTCACTGAGGTAGGTGCATCTGTCAGCAGCTCATGACACATCTCACTGAGGTAAGTGCACCTGTCAGCAGCTCATGACACATCTAACTGAGGTAGGTGCATCTGCCAGCAGCTCATGACACATCTCACTCAGGTAGGTGCATCTCTCAGCAGCTCATGACACATCTCACTGAGGTAAGTGTACCTGTCAGCAGCTCATGACACATCTCACTGAGGTAGGTGCACCTGTCAGCAGCTCATGACACATCTCACTGAGGTAGGTGCATCTGTCGTCAGCTCATGACACATCTCACTGAGCAAAGAGCATCTGTCAGCAGCTCATGACACATCTCACTCAGGTAGGTCTCAGCAGCTCACGACATCTCACTGAGGTAAGTGCACCTGTCAGCAGCTCATGACACATCTCACTCAGGTAGGTCTCGGCAGCTCATGACACATCTCACTGAGGTAAGTGCACCTGTCGGCAGCTCATGACACATCTCACTCAGGTAAGTGCACCTGTCAGCAGCTCATGACAAATCTCACTGAGGTAGGTGCACCTGTCAGCAGCTCATGACAAATCTCACTGAGGTAGGTGCATCTGTCAGCAGCTCATGACACATCTCACTGAGGTAAGTGCATCTGCCACCAGCTCATGACACATCTCACTGAGGTAGGTGCATCTGTTAGCAGCTCATTACACTTTCACAGAGGTACATTCATGTTTTATCTCATTTGAGATTTTGGAGTTGTATCAGTTGTGCACGTTTCCTGAAGAATCCATATTGGGCCTTTGCTGTTTGCATTCCTGAGTATTTCTTACCATGTTATCTGTATGTGTTCCAGAGTTCACGGAACATTGGCGCCCCTCCCAGCGCAGATGTACTTCCTGAAACTGTACCTGGACCTGATGGAGGGGCGGAGGAAGATGGCCCAGCATGTCATCAAGGAACACTTCGGTCACGTCACCCCCAACAGAATCTAGACCATCCATATAGTCGCAGTTGTCACAGCACAATCTAGATCAAGGTCATGAACAGTTTCATCCCCACCTTCAAATCAATCTTAATATCACCCAAATATTCTGGATATGTTCGTTGATGTTTGATTTGATCTGTCCAGGTCTATAGTTGTCTTGGACTAGGAAGTCCACAGTAAGTGTTAGAAAACATTTAGTGGAGACAGCACAGGTCAAGGTCAAGGTTGAGGTCAAGGCTGGTTGCCAACCATCAATAGTTTAGCTTGAACATAGGAGTATAGTGAATACTTACATAGTCAGTGAAGGATTGAATCATGGACTCAGAAATGTGTAGCAACATTGACGATCATGAAAGGCACAACTGATTTTGTTGAGCCCCTCCTTATTGAAAAATCTATGACATTACGCATGTCTAAAGCACTCTTTAAGTTCATACAGTTTCGTTCTGTCTTGCTTAAGACTAGAATAATTTTCTGAACGGCAAGGTTTAGTGCATGAATTGTCATTAATGTGCTGAAAGTTTGCCATCACTCTTCACAACTTTACATATTATGTGAGAACCTGTCACAACAAAGGTACCAAAAAATACAGTTACTTTTTGTTGGTGTTAGAGTTGGGACCCAATTATTTTATTAGGGTTGGTTAATGTTTCAGACTATCAACCCACGTATTTGAAGCCTTTTGTCACTTTCAATCAGTGCTGAAAATGTGCCAAATTTTTCCTTATCCTGACTCAAAAGCGGATGTAAAATCACTCACCCACGAAAGGGACGCTACTTGTGGGTGAGTGATTTTACGTCCGCTTTTTTAGAAGGGAACTTCGAGGGATTTCAAGTGTTCCACTATCATTCGCAAGAGGAAGGAGACAAGCATAATTAGCATGAGTCAGGATAAGTATAAAATATCAATTTTAGTCAGAAAATTACATTATCCTCATACCAAAACCTTGTCCGCGGCCCTTATAGTAACCAACAAAACGGGTTTGTTTTGTTTTGAGGGTTAGGAATTTTTGTGAGATTCATGTGGATTTGTTTGCTGATATTTAGTCAGTAACAGACCTCGAACTAAATCCCTGTTCAAGAAAGCAATCATAACACTAAAATGATCGTAGTCTACATACTTTAAGACAGACATACGTCCGTCGTAATTCCCATATCTTGTCACAGACTTCGGAGAGTCATAGCAACAGTATGATCATAAATTCCCTACATGCATATCATCTTACGACAGATGTAGCACTAACATCATCATAACTGCCATACCTTTGCTAAGACATACGTCTGTCGTAGCATTAAGATGATCGTAACTCTCATATATTTTCATAGACTTCGGAGAATTATAGCACCATGATGATCGTAACTGTCCTACTTTCATTTCATCTTACGACAGATATAGCTCTAAGATCATCATAGCTGCCATAGTACTGTGTAGACTCACGACTGTCGTAGCGCTAAGATTACTTCATGAAGCAGGACCAGTGGACAAAGTGAGGAATTGAAGAATGGGAGGGATGTGGAGTGAGGGTTGAAAATTTGTTTTTCATTGGTTATCAATTAATAATTATTTTGTCTACAGATGTCGATTAAACATGGCCATGCCCTGTGATGCGTATGATGAACAATACCCCACATGAAAATAATAACAAATATGTATCATAAATAGTTAGTATTCATCACCATCTTCTGCAGCAATCAAAATGCATTTTCTCTCGGTAATAGATTTCATAAATGTCATATTTTCATCAAGGAATTATTATTGATCTAGTGATTTTTTATTCACGACATCATTCACATGAGGGAGTGATAGTGTTCTTTCGGTATTCAGTATGTGTTTGCTCTCCAGGATCCAGAGGGGTAGCCAAGTGGTTAAAGCACTTGCTCGTTATTCCGAAGACGGGTTCTATTCCCCACATGCGTACAATGTGTGAAGCCCATTTCTGGTGTCTTCAGGTGATTTTGATAGAATATTGCAAAAATTAGGCTAAACCCACCCTTACTCACTAAATACAGAGTGTACTGGGAACTGAGGAATTTACTTTTTAGTTTTTCGTCTGTCCTGCTCAGGTAACTCCTAATTACCATATGTTCTAGTGCTACCTTAAGTGATTCACATGCCACGAAGCAGAGATACCTGTCTAAGTTACAGTAAGCAAGATGTTACACATATATGCAGTATTCACTGGAGTTTATGGAAATTTGATGCTCTCTGACAGTAAGAAGTAGTTTTGGGAATAGGTTAAAATGTCATAATTGATGATTGGTTCATTACCATCGTTCAATCATCGAAAATAATTGGTTAGCGTCATTTATGAAATTTGTTAATGCACAAAAATATAAGGAAAAATGTACTTATGTTTGGGGGTTTGGGGCAAAATTTCACAACTTTAAAGGATGACTAGTATGTTAGGAACATAAATTTCTTGATGTCTTTAAGATAAATTCATTGATGACTTGGAACAAGCTTGTAGTGCTTATGAAATGTAACAGACAAAACCAACCTTGTGAAAAATATTGTTGATGAAAACAAGTGTTCCAGAATTGTTTGTGTTCGATTATGAGAAAACATGATCGATTGCTTGGTCGTTTAGTCACTGCGACCAATCTTCGATTATTTCAATTAATCGGACCACCACTAGTAAGAAGTGATTGGTAAGGACGTATGAACTGAAGAAAACTGAATTGGGTGTTGTTATGCCTCTGGGTTATCTGATTTATGTGACAGATGAAATAACAGTATTCGGCTTCAATTTACCCATGGCAGTTAAATTAGTCAATTAATCAACCAGATATTGAAATAGATCAAACTTAAGTTGACAACATGAAAAATTGTGTTTGAAAGACATGACTGGAAACATGCCGTCACGTTCAGCCATGGATGTCAGTGATGTGTGGTCAGTTTCTGGTGCAGACCTGCTTACAATACTGTGGTTGTAGAACAAAACTGGAATTACAAAATCATCCTGGTCAGGTATGTGTTTCTGTCAGGATTAAAACAAGCTGCCACAGATTCTGTGATTACTTGTCTTGTTGGGTGCCTGACATGTCTTTGGAGGTCCTTTATGTATGTTCCGGCTTTCTCAGACATGGATTATTGTGTGCGAGAAGCTATACGACATACTGACATTTTTTGGTTATAGGGTGCGTGGCCTGCAATTATACTAGCCCACATAAAGAAACTATTCAATGCATTGTCAAAATATTATCCCAGTTAATCCAATTACGATAACAATGTCGAAATTACATATAAACTTTAATGGAGGGATCATGAGACCATAACAAAAATTAAGGAGAATTTCATTTGAAAAGTCAATCACAATGACGTCCACGAGTCCACAAAGCGGGACAGGGTTAAACGACCATGTCACAAGCTCAATAACAAGGTATGTCCACCATCTGCATTGAGAACACCAATGCATCGACGACTATATAGAGCCTATCAAGCGTGCAGAAGGCTTGTCGGATGTCACGCCAGATTCTCTCAAGTTCTGTTGCAAGGTCAAAGGACGTTATCAAATGGCGGATAGGGAGAAGACGGCGTAGACGTCGATCCATCTAGTCCACCCAAACATGCTCTATCGGGGAGAGATCCGGTGAATTTTGCAGAGCCAAGGGAGTAGAGGAGTCAGCGTTGTGAAGGTGTTGCAAGAAATCCCTGCCAGCCCTTACCCGTATGAGGGGCTGAAGGGCATTGTCCTGTTGGAATGTTAACCCAGGGCGCATGATGACGTTTGCAGAAGGAATTACCACAAGGTCCAGAAAAGAATCCTGATCCCTGAAGCCCACACCAGGATTAAGTTTTACACTGAGCGTAATCACCAAAGGAGTTCTTTGGCGTGCTGTTATTCAACCCCAAATCATCACGGAATAAACACCAAAGCGATTCCTCTCCAAAGACCTACAGGCCGCGCCTTACTTAACGTTCTCCCCACGCGTCTATAGGCACGTTGACGTCCACCATCACTATGAAATGTTAAACCTGGACTCTATCTGTAAACAACATTTCTCCACCAAAACAAGGTCTACGGACATGATTTCGAGCACCGCATGAAGCTTGTCGTGTGTTGTGTGTCAGGATAGGCCGTATGGCAGGACGTCGTGGTCTGATCACGTGATGTCTTGGCGTTATTTACACGTGGACGTCCAGAACGTGGCCGACTGATGACGTCATTTGTGTTTTGGTAGCGTCTCACCAGTGCAGAAATGGTGTTCCGGTGGCAGGAAATGTGCAGCCACTTCGTCGTTGAGACATTACCCCACGGACCATCCCGGTTCGGCCCCATGACGTTGTGCAGACGTGAGCCTTGGGTAATGCTATGCGTTTCAATAGCCGCGTTTAATTTTGAACGATCGCAAGGGCAGGGGTTGAAGCTTTCCAGTGACAGGTATTGTGTGGCATCTCTGTTCTGTTTCTCTTTTCCGGAATGCACATGCAACAACGTACCGCACGTCTAGATCCAGGGCCCTCGTCTGTTACTGATTGTTAAAGGCATCTTTTCAAAACTGTTTTTTGTCCACAAGTACATTCATTTAATATTTTTATATGGAGCACTGCCAGGACAGTGATGCATTTTGTGTGGAATTTGATTGCTGAAACAAAATATTCAGTGTATGTTAAATTTAAAAAACTGGAAAAAAGTATCCAGAAAATATGAATAAATACATACAAGAAAGCTACACAGTCTGTGGTGTGTTTTGTTTGCGTTGTATGAGTTTGGTTAACTGGACTGGCTGTTTGCTGGGGTGGAACCACAGGGGAGGTGCGCCCAACTGGACTGGCTGTTTGCTGGGGTGGAACCACAGGGGAGGTGCGCCCAACTGGACTGGCTGTTTGCTGGGGTGGAACCACAGGGAGGTGTAGCTTCAACTGGACTGGCTGTTTGGTGGGTGGAACCACAGGAGAGGTGCCCAACTGGACTGGCTGTTTGGTGGGGTGGAACCACAGGGGAGGTGCGCCCAACTGGACTGGCTGTTTGGTGGGGTGGAACCACAGGGGAGGTGCGCCCAACTGGACTGGCTGTTTGGTGGGGTGGAACCACAGGGGAGGTGCGCCCAACTGGACTGGCTGTTTGGTGGGGTGGAACCACAGGGGAGAGTCGCCCAACTGGACTGGCTGTTTGGTGGGTGGAACCACAGGGAGGTGCTTAACTGACTGGCTGTTTGCTGGGGTGGAACCACAGGGGAGGTGCTTCCAACTGGACTGGCTGTTTGCTGGGGTGGAACCACGGGGGAGGTGCCTAACCGGACTGGCTGTTTGGTGGGTGGAACCACAGGGAGGTGCGCTAACAACTGGCTGTTTGCTGGGTGGAACCACAGGAGGAGTTTCGCCAACTGGACTGGCTGTTTGCTGGGGTGGAACCACAGGGAGAGTGCGCCCAACTGGACAGGCTGTTTGCTGGGGTGGAACCACAGGGGAGGTGCGCCCAACTGGACTGGCTGTTTGCTGGGGTGGAACCACAGAGGGAGGTGCTTAACTGGACTGGCTGTTTGCTGGGGTGGAACCACAGGGGAGAGTGCTCAACTGGACTGGCTGTTTGCTGGGGTGGAACCACAGGGGAGGTGCGCCCAACTGGACTGGCTGTTTGCTGGGGTGGAACCACAGGGGAGGTGCGCCCAACTGGACTGGCTGTTTGCTGGGGTGGAACCACAGGGGAGGTGCGGCCCAACTGGACTGGCTGTTTGCTGGGGTGGAACCACAGGGGGAGGTGCGCCCAACTGGACTGGCTGTTTGCTGGGGTGGAACCACAGGGGAGGTGCGCCCAACTGGACTGGCTGTTTGCTGGGGTGGAACCACAGGGGAGGTGCGCCCCTCTCCAAAATCCTGGACCCGCCCCTGGTTTGATTTGTTGTTTGATGCAACCCTGACAATATTCCAGCTATATAACCTGTCAATAATCGAGTCTGGTCCAGACAATCCAGTGATAGGATAGTATGACATGCATGAGGGAGTCTGGCCAGCTGATACGGATAGTCACCTCTTAGCACAGCCAGTGTTTGTTGGCTGTCTCAAATATGTTTTTCACGGTCAAAAATCATACAAAATTTGTTGTCATCAACCTGTTGGTAGTAGAACACGACCTAATGGACAGCGTGCTGCGTGACCGTAGGTCATCGTGCTATAACAATGTGGATTATTACTCATTATACTGATCACTGGATTGTCTGGTCGAGACACGGATTATGTATGTTCCGCTTTCTCAGACATGGATTATTGTGTGCGAAGCTATACGACATACTGACATTTTTAGTTGTAAATTGTGATGGCCTGAAGTACGATGTTACTGGTGACAGCATAACTCAACCACCGCCTCTTCAGTTCTACGGTGGAGTAGACCAGAAGATGAACTGTTCGCTTGCTGTGCAGAAAGCGCATTCATATCCTGCTTCGTGTGAAGCTGTTTTCTGGGTCCCGTCCTTATTTTGACGTAATAATTCCAAAAACGGGGCGAGACCTCGCTCACTCACACGTCTTCGGCGTGATGATCGAACACTTTACCCATTAGGCTACTCAGCGCCCCTTATTCACACATGACGTGGCAACCTCTATGACAGAGCCTATTGCTAGACCGATGATGGTCGCTGGTTTGACAACTGGAGGTTCATCTTGACGATTCACTGAACGCTTCTACTGCCAGAACACCCAATGCTTGTAGACAACTTCAGCACCCCCTGACATATCTCACGATTGAATGAGCCCGATCTTAACCCATGGAACATATCTGGGACATAATCGGTCGTCGTGAAAAGTGACTGAATATTTTTAACAAAGGGATCCCCTGTACAGATACCTGGCCCAATCTGGAAGCTGCAATTTTTTTTTACGCGTGGAATGAAGTCACCAATTGTGAGACTGCCCCTTCAGAGGATCAGGAGGCAGACAGGGGGTATGAGGGGGAGAGGGCTGGCTGCTCATACAGGCACATGGATGGTTCACTTGGTATTGACCTTGAATGACATTTTAAATGTACACATTCACCCCAAAAATTCAACATTAAACATTCCAGGGCCTACACTTGTACAGACATGGTTTTGTATGAAAATCATGGGTTTTTTAAAATGATCAATTATCATCGTAAAATTAACATGGTGTCCAGTCATATTGTCGTTTTTATGAGTCAAAGGATCATACGGGTAAGAAAAACTGTCTTTCCATCGTGGTCACCGTGAGAAGTTTTATGTACATGTTGAAAACGATTGCAAAAATAAATGGGGCGCTTAATTAAGTTGTTTGTGTATATATTTCAAGTATTAAGTGGACTTCATGAATTACACCTGAAAGATGATTACAGGCCAATGCGGTATTCCCTTTTGTCTCTCCACATCGCAGTGTACATACAATAATCGCGACAACACGATATTAAGGCCCCTATTGCCTCACACGGATTTGAAATGATGAGCATGTCATGAAAATACTAATTCCCCCAAAGTCTGTTGAAATTTCTCTTGACTAGATTTCAATCACCTCAAGCTTCACGTCATGCTTGACGTAACAACTCACAAGAGGTTAGTGACCACAGGGGTTCGAATCACTGTTTGGACAAAATAGTAAAAAATAAAAATCTACGGATACACCTTGTTCATTTTATGTAACCCATGTAGCGGTATAATTTTCTAAAATATTCATTTCTTCACCGACTTTGTTCAAATTTTAAATATATGTTAATCATAACATATATAAACAATATACGGTTGCAAAAATCTAGATTCATATTTTAAAAAATTATTGTCGAAACAGTGATTCCAACCCCTGTGTTAGTGACTGTATGTACTGTGTGTCAACTGGACAGCGTGGGACGTTGCTCCCTCTGTCACCACTACTTTCCTTGTTCCAGATCTGTGTGGGGCTACGACCCCAGCAATCCTCTGCTGCATGGAACTTGCGATTTAATTAGTGAGTGAGTGAGTTTAGGTTTACGCCGCACTCAGCAATATCACAGCTATATGGCGGCCGTCTGTAGATAATCGAGTCTTGATCCAGTGATTACAATCCAGTAATCCAGTGATGACATCACGACCATCGATCTACGCAATTGGGATAAGATGACATGTGTCAACCAAGTCAGCGAGCCGGACCGCCCGATCTCTTTTGTCGCCTCTTACGACTAGCATGGGTGGCTGAAGATGAATTCTAACCCGGATCTTCACGGGCGTATTCACGATTCATCCACGATTCACAGATTGACATTTCGTTTCACTGGTTGGTATTTCTTGAACATTGCCAGCAGCATAAAATTCCCACTCACTCACTCCCACACATCTATGATGTTGTGGACAGCCTGTGGTTAGGCCGATGATGGTCGCTGGTTTGATATCTGGAGGGTCATTCTGACGATTCACTGTGTCTAGGGAACGCTTCTGCCAGAACAGCAAGTGATGGTAGACAACGCCCCAACGCCCCAACACCCCAACGCCCTCCGGACGACCTTGAAGTGAACCACGTGTTTACTCAGCAGGTATCTGTGGTGTAGTGGGCAGAGTGTCTGCTAGGAGAGAGGAAGATCGGTGGTTTGATCCCCGATCGAATCGTACCTAACGATGCTAAAAAATGGTATTTGTTATTACCCTGCCCTATCTTCTCATTTCTCTCCTGTGGTTCTGTACTTCTTTAACCAAAGCAGCAGCCTCTGGAATGTTATTGTTCTCAGGAATGTCCAAAGTTTGGTTACTGGGCCCCGTTCCTCAAAGCGATCGTAGCGCGACGACAGTCGTAAGTCTATGTTAAAGTATGGGAGTTACGACTGTCGTAGCGCTACGATCGCTTTGAGGAACGGGGCCCTGTTTGATATCTTGAAATGGGCATGTTTCCGTTCCTGAATACAAAATAGTGCTCAATTTGTGGTTACTTTGTTTAACGCCTCACTATTCCAGTTACATGGCGGTCTGTAAAGACAATCCAGTGATCAATAGCATGAGCATCGATCTACGCAATATGGATACGATGACATGTGTCAATCAAGTCAGCGATCCTGACCACCGAATCTCGTTACAGCAAGCTTGGGTTGGTGATGACCAACTCTAACCCGGATCTTCACGGGCCGTATATAATAGTGCTCAAATCTGGCAGGAACTCGATGTATCCAAATAGGTATCCAAACCGCATTTTCCAAGTAGTTAAGAAACATTATGGGCTGTGTATGAAATAAGACAAAAACCCAGCCAAACATCTGGGCTGGTAACTTCAAAAACTTACCAGATTTAACCAGTCCTTCTTAAAGGTCACATGCAACCAAAAAATCAAACATAATTAAAACACAATTATCACTTATTCATGACATATAATATACATTGCTGGTTATGAAAAAAACATATAAACAAAATTATAAGCGTACAATCGCAAATCAAAAGTGCAATATTGTGTACTTCGGTTTACTTCCCAAGAAACGAAGCAGCCGGGATACCGAACCCAGTCCGAGCGGGTGGGTGTGCACTCAAAGTGTAACGGTTGGTTCATTTGCAGATGCCGTCACGGCTCATTGTGTGTGTATATAGAGAGATGTTGGGTTTTGTAAATACATGCTCATTTTTTGTGTATAACATTTTGCAATCAACAGACATCATAACATGTCATGTGTTCAAGTATCACACCTGCCTGTCTGTGTAATTACATAATGTGACAGAGACCGAACTCGGGCCATAAATCAATGCATTTTGTTTATGGTGTTTAGCCTAATTGGTGTTAAGTTCAAATTGCATGTGGTCAGTGATAGCAGCTGTGTATTGAATATTGTCATTAGCAGACAGGCAGGCAGACACACAGGTGTCAATAAAACAAGACATTGAGTTTTGTCTGTGACAACGACATATCTATATCACAGTTAGAAATTCTGTCAACGCTAAATAATGATATTGCTTTTAAGTATCGAACTGAGAAAGTGACTCGGTAAGAAGAACGTGTGGTGAAATAGACAAATGAAATTATATAAACAGTTAATTTACTGTCATAGGTGACCGGACAAAATCCACCCGGACAAAATCCACCCCAAAATTGCCACCCCGGACAAAATCCACTTCTTCTTAACACAAAAATGGTCAAAATCCACCCTTCTCAAATTGCTATTGTTAAATGTTTTAGTGTGTCCTGATCTTCGATCAAGTTGTTTTCCTCAAGCATTGTTTTGATAGCATTTATGTTTTCCTGTCATAACATGTAAAAAGCTCGCGCCTGTGAGATATCAACAAAACATTAGAAAAATAGCTCACACCAAAGCCTTCACCGAGTATTCACCGGACAACCCGATTACAAGCTGCGCGAACCTATTTCACTGCGCACATGCTATGAGCGCAGCCCAGCTGTTGAAACCCGTTTTCCCCAGAAAAGTCGGGGGAAATTTAGTGAAACGTTTGAACTCCGATTTCGCGCGGTTTTTTTCATCGCGTTATTTTTCAACTTTATAAGATGAATTTGCATCTTTGACGATTTGTTTCGGTAAGTCCATACCGAAAGGTATCAGAATCTGCAAAGTTGTGTTTTACGTTGCATGTGACCTTTAAATATTAAGTAGACAGTGCCAGTGGACACGTTATCTGAATATTTTTGTCACCCGTCCATCGGGCTAGTTAGCTGTAAAATTAAACCATCCGGCAGAAATCTAGCCCGTCTCGGGCGGTCGGACAGGTCTTATTTCATACACTGTTATGGGTAAAAAGAGATTGAACTGTCTTGCCACTTAGATAGACATAGCAAGCCTTCTGAAAACTGTTTCATCCAGAAACTCTTTAATGTCTGCCATATTCACGGATGCAACAAGGGCAGATAACTCACTATAGAACTATTCTCGA